CTGCTCTTTAGTGTTCCAGAGTGCATCAAAGTTTAAACAAAAATTTGCCAAGTTTTACTATTTTGTATTATTAAAAGTCATATTTTAATTTTACCAGTAGGTTACATAAAAATAGCAAAATTGTGAAAATGTAGGCGCCAACAGGCTAGAAGAAAGTTTGAGACAAAACTGAAAAGATAGCCTAAACTAAAGAGATAAGAAAATTACCTCGTACGAGAAATTCTGTACCATTCTGCAAAGCCACTAGTTCTCTTATTCACGACAGGGGGCGAAGAAGACATTTAGCGATGACCGTTCCTGGCTATTTTTGGCCTGCCTGAGCTTTCTTTCCTCTCACAGCTAAACTGATTTCGGGCGTGTAAACTGTTAAGTTTATTAGTCCCGTAAGTGTAGTGTATATTTGACCCCCCCCTCTTTGGATGGTGAGATTTGGCGCCGACCTACCATCTGCTAGAGAGGTGTTCTTCGACTAGATCTCTCTCATCAGCGAGGCACGGCACCAGTCGGGACCAGCTTAATTCCGACTATATGTTTAGTGAAGTGCATGTAAGTGTAAGTAAGGAAATATGGGTAAGTAAGGAGTGAGGATATGTCAAGCAAGAGGAAGGAAATATCACAGGCGGACCGTGACGTGATTGTTAGGGAACTGCTCCGGCATTCGCCTAGCGTTGATCAGAGAAACCATGGATCAGAGCGGAAAACTCCCGATCAGAGCAGCTGGTCGCTAGAATTCTCCTCCAGTAAGGGACTCATCTAGGTCCAGCTATCTAGCTGGTGACGAAAATCCAGCCACCTTCGGGACTCGAGTCGAGGTACTGCAGTGAGAATTAGCTGTGAGCCACATCTCCTGGTATCTCTCAGCTATAGAAACTGAGAAGGAAAGCTAAAGCTTCATTTTGCCCGGCCGAGAATCGACCCCGGGATCGCACCAGGAAAGCTACCACTCAGGCCTTAAGCTACCATATTAAAATATTTAAATCTAAACACGTCATGTTTTCATTAAGAAGAAATTTTAACGTTGTAGTTATCTTTATTTCGTGATTTTTTTCTTTAAATGAAAATCAGTAAACCCGAGGTGTGCTATCGCTTGCTATTGTTAATCTGTTTTATAGCATAACTTTTAGTTTTTAATTAAAACGAAAAAATACTAAATGCGCGCTTTTCCGGCACCCTTTTGTTCATGATGTCATTTGGTTGGGTCAAGACCTTGTTAAAGAAGGTCCTGGTCTAGCGCAAGCAAGTTTGTGCGAGAGAGAGGTTATAGATAAATAAGCGAAGATAGCGAGTTTTTGAAATCCGAATTTTGAAAGATTTTAAACGAAAAGATTAAAGATGTCGAAACGCAATGTCCAGCCATCCAATTCTTGGAAACATGGATCCATTCACACAACTAGTGATGCTACAACACACACTTACTCGCATTATTCATTATCATAAGGTATCATAAGAAAATATCATAAGATAAAGTCAAGGAACGATCTAAGTCTTAATAATCTTCTCCATTATCTTGCGCGTTTGCACGTTAGGGGAATCGGTCTGTAATGGCAACTTTTTGTTTGCTCTTTTCCAGGTTTAGGAACAGGGATAATTATAGCGGTATTCCATATTTCGGGTAATACATTTTTTGTCCATGTTATGTCATGAATTTGTTTTCATTCCAGTTACTGCTTACCGTGGATAGCATTTATCTTGGACCATAATTCCTTTAAATTGTTATGGATATTAATACTTGAAACGTAGTTATACCATTATTGTGTTGTACTTTCTTTAATAGTTCTTCTTGCTATTGCTCTCATCTTCTTATATTTAATATTGTTATATTCAGCATTATGTTTTTTGAAACGATTAAAGGAACGCTTACCATTTTTATTGCATCTTTGCACTTATCTAACTCATGTTGAAGGGTGTTGGGGCACCACTGTTATGTAAGATCAAATCCATATCTTCTATTACTGATTCAATACATATACCTCTGGTGTCTGTCTTTTTTTAATCCCATAGAATGTTATGGTTATTAAAATCTCCAACTAGTATAAATGGGTGAGGTAGAATAATAATAATTGATCTCTCTCGCATCAAAGGAGTAAGTATTAGGTAGATACACATTACAAATTCACAGTGAAATTGGGGCTTGGGTTTCAACGACTACTACTTCTATTTCACTTGGAATGTTGATGTTTGAACAGGGTATGTAATCTTTAACAAATATAGCTACTCCACCACTGACTATACTGGAAGAGGTCGTGTTTCTGTTAAAGTTCTGTTTAAAATTTAAAACCTTTTATTCTTTCTGAACGTTTTGCTTTAAGGTTGGTTTCTTGTAAGCAAATTATCTCTGGGGAGTAATGTCCAATCTTTCAAATCTTGGGTAAAATCTATTTACATTCCATTGTAGAGGTTTTATAGTAAATATAATTTTTATTGAAATTAATTTAATTTTTATCAAAAATTTGGAGCCATTTTTGGAAATAAAAATTGAAAATGTTATTGAGGTTTCATGTTGAGAACTCCTGAAAATCAAAACATTCTTTTCAAACTCAGAAGGTTCATTTAAATCGATCGAGAATTTTGGAGAAAGTTGGCTGAACGGTTTGTGCGGTAGCTTCGACAACAGGCAGACAGTAAGACGAGCGGACAGCCTAGAAAGTAAAAATTCTAATTATAAGTGATGCATTACGTTTTTAAGTCAACGCTAATAGCAATATTTCCTAACAATCTACTATAACACATGTGCACAGATAACACTAAACGACAAGGAACAATATTTTGGAGGAGTTTCGATTTTTCTTTTAGCGCATTAGGATTGCACTTTTCTATTGTAACTTTACTTCAGCTGAAATATTAGTTTTCCCCAGCCGGAGTCAACAGATATTTAGCTATCCGGGAGACGCCACCGTCGCGCCGCGTCCTAGACACAGTTGCCAACATTTCGGCCTTCATGCTACGGCCTTCGTCGTTCAGAGGAACGTTCTGACGACCCATACGTTGGCAACTGTGTCTATGTCGTGACATCTCCCAGACAGACAAGTTTTATTTTCTAGTTTATAAAATGTGGAGTTTATATGCAATGAACATCGCGGCTAATTGCCAAAACACTAAGGTCACAGACTTGATTTTTTAGTTTTCATGGTTTTCCTAACCTTTTTGATAACAATATGACACAATAACATATAGTTTCTCATTCATTATTACTAACTTTTGCAATTTGCTTCAAATTTATTGTTTTAACGGTTTAAAAGCCCAGATTACGATACATTTAAATAGAAGAGTATCATGTTCATGAAATATTTTGAAATTAAGGAAATTAAAATTTTTTTGTTTTTTCTGGTTGCGTAGGTGAAACTTTGGAATTTTGTGGTAGTCGAAAGAACGCAATTTCCTCATTATACAGAGAAACCTAAATGACGTCTTCTATGCGAATACAGTTAGGGCTATATGACACTTCCATAAGCATGTTAAAGTTGATGATCGGCTTACTGGCACGACGATTAACCTAAAATAACCATCAGTCTGTTCATCCCATAATTTCAAATGCATATTATACCAAAATACTTAAAGATATTGCAGGGTATACGTTTTGTCAAAAGCAAAAATCAACAGAAGTAATCAATGCTTAAGATCTTTATGTTCTACATAAGTGACTGATATAATGGTCTTAAGCATTATTTAGCTCTGTTATTCTATGGCTTTCTTTGGAAAGAGGGATTTTAATTTTTACTTTCCCACCTTCATTCTTATATAGTAGAGATTTGGAATGCTGCTTTGTATTGTAATGCTGCGGAAGAAGTCACTACTTTATTATACAATTTTACAGAAAAATAGTTTTACACAAATTTATTTTTATAGAAAATCGTCTGAACGGTTTAGACGCCCGTGTTGACTTAAACGAAGTTTTGCTGTAAGCCAATTTTACGGTATCAACGACTTATAAAATACGGATTTTGACTACATACAGTGTTAGAAAGAAACATTTACTACACATAGAAATTTGTGGTGCTATATGTGCTGTTATACTTTCTCGCAATGTTTCTTAATTTGGAATTTTCGCAAATTCAGGGAGAGTGCAACAAAAATGAGACCAACGCCTTTCTTTTAAAATCCCTTCGTCTATCCGTGGAAAAACAGTTTAAGAAATAAGTTATAGAGGTTTTTTGAGAGAAAAAAGTTAGTTTATTTTAAAAATTGCGGAACCCGGTTGACGTTGTTTTGTCCTTCATCTCCATCTCTCTCCATCTTTCTCTCTCCCTCCGTCTCCGTCTTTCTCTCCGTCTACCTCTGACTCTCTTTTTCTCACTCTTTGTCCCTCTCTGTCTCTCTCTTTCTATATGAGTGTTTTTTAAGAATAAATTTATTTTATTTTAAAATTGCCTATATTTCGGTGAACTGTTTAGGCGTTGGCGTTGACAACAGACGGACAGACGGACGTTTATCTGTCAATCTATTTTTCGTTGTCAAGAACCCACAAAAAGGTTTCTGGCCGCCCTATGTTAGAGGTTTTTTCTATATTTATCAACAGTATATATCCTATTTTTCGTTGCCAGAACATGTCAATGAGAGTTTTTCTACCAAAAATTCGTCGTTTTTCGACGCACGATCACATAACTTTCTCTTCTTACGAAATACCTTCGCGAGGGCGAGACAGTAAAAAGAATGGCCTATTTTTTCGGTAACAGGGACACAAAAAAACAGTTTTCTGTCAGTCAAAAAAACATCGCTATATTGGATTGCGGCTTTAATACTTTCTCTATAGTACTAAAATAGTTCGCGAGAAATAAAAATGTTTCCGGCTGTCAGATACTCGGCAGTTGGTGTAGCCTGTTCTCCCTCCTGTCTGGAGCTGAATTTGACCCAGCTCTGCAGTTAGTGTCGGAAATTCTCCACCGTAGGTGGACATGTGTGTATATGTGTGAATGCGCGCGTTGTATCCGTAAAGAGGGTAGGAAATGAACGCTGAGCGAGGTGAGTGTCCTGTGCGCAGGGGGCGGCGAGCGCGCCATGGTGGGCGGCGGGGCGTGCGCCGTGTGCCGCGAGGCGGCCACGCAGTGCTGCAGCGGCTGCCGCGCCGTCTTCTACTGCGGCCGCGACCACCAGCGGCAGCACTGGAAGTCGCATCGCCTGCACTGCCTGCCGCACCGCGTGGCCCACGACCCGCGCCTCGGCAGGCACCTGCTCGCCACCAGGGACATCAAGGCGGGGGAGGTGGTGGCCCAGGAGGCGCCCGTCGCCCTCGGGCCCAAGGTAAGTCACGCACCAGCCCCACCCGAAAATTAAAAACATTACATAAATAGTAGTATGAAAAAGAATTATGCATGATGTAACCTAACCTGGCTTATGTTAAGTTCTGAAGAATTGTGTAAGGATCCGGTATTGGAGATTGAAAGAAATTTTTATACGTAAAGTTATGTGCATAACGTTTAATAGAAAAAAAAATATTTCAAGTGACAAGGTGTATCGTATCTTCTTAAGCAATTATCCATCAGACGTGTAAAGAAAACGTGAGTAAATACGAAAAACCAATCTTTATTTATTGACTAAAACAATTACTACAGCTAAAACAAGAGAAATATTGGAAAATGTACGTTAGCGTAGCATCGTCACATTCTGTCTTGTGAGTAAAATAATACGAAGAGTTCCATTTAAAAAAATTGTTTTATTCTTTTCAGCAATTTGAATTATACGAAAGTTCTAAAATCAGGACCCATAATCATAAGTCTATGTTCCACATCCATTATTCAACAGTTGCTTTCCAAGTCCACGCCAGCGACAGTTCATCAAGAGAGCTCACAGCACAGTTGGCTAATCAACACTCGTAAGGAAGTGATCCGTAGTATAACGTCAGAACCCTCCTTTATTATTTTTTTTAGTGATGGTTGAGATCACATATAGTTCATATGCAAACTTTTAGCCGCTCAAAAACTAGAAGTTACTCTAAAACGAATATCAGGATTCTTGAGAAATTGAAGTCTTGGGATGATAACCCCAGCACACCGCTTGTGTGCACACCACTGTGTTTAAACAGGATGAATTTTTTCTTCGAAAAATACACTCTAGCGTGTTTCTCATAACAAAAGAAATATTTCAATTATTCCTTTAACGTTTTGTCCTCAGAAGCAGAGATTAAGGTAGAAAGGGCTTGTAATTGTCCAATTTCGTCGCAGTTACTATATCATTGGAACAATGTGGACATGCCCAAGGATCGAAGCGCTGTTGTAGACCCTATAGGTCGTAGCGTCATTGCAAGCAGCGAGTGCACATAAATTCTAACGGCCGGCTGATATGCTAAAGTTCTGACGGTCTAAGATCAGGTGCGATCTCAAGTCCGCGCGCGATAAACAACTGATGTAATATATCTCATCAACTCACGCAATTTCGACATTGATATATCAAGTCGATTTTGTCTTCAGCAATACTCAGATACTCAGTGCCTCTGCGCTTTGAGGCACAACCTTCTGGACGGTGCAGAAGAAAAGCAGTAGTCAAAAAACTGCTAAGCATAAACGAAGTAATTCTCAAAAAATGGCATTAGAAACATTTGATTATGTAATTGAGTACACGACGTTGATGTATTTTTCCGATATGAAATGACTTATGTTTATTATCTAGCAGCAAAGCTGTTCAATCGAGCTAAATCGCTCGATTTAGCTCGGAAACGCCGAAACAAGTTCCTTGAAAATTGTATATTTCATTTTTGAGCAACTTCTAGAATGTTAAGCCAGCTAAAACATTGCGTATGAATTAACCAAATGTACCTCCAACCATCAACGTAATACACAAACAAGTCACTTTTAAACACGTCATGACTACTAACATATATTCTTGCTGTCGCGCTGTGAACTTCAAAATTATCATTCCGGCCAGCCGGGTTATATGCCATGTAGGGTAGAAGCTGAAGAGGGTAGAACCTGATCATGCGCTCAGCAAAGAACGCGGCCCGGTGAAATTTGAAACAATCAGTGTGTTGGGTTTTTCTCGCGCGAATACACTCGGCCAGCCACAGTCACCAATTAGCACTTGATTAGTATGATGGATAGGGAACTGCTTATAAATGAACTGCCATTTATGAAAAGGAAAACCCGCGATGTAGGCGTTGGACTGTTCGCCTGTGACTTCTCCGATCCTTTAAAAAGACGAACATTGAACTTTTCGTGGACTGATGGCGCAACTTTCATTTGTAGTTCTCATTTACCCTCCATTTGCGTTTGTATGCATAATTTTGATATCTACCCCAACTTTCAGTTTTATACATGATCTGTTTTATGCAACTCCTCGTTAAACATCAAAGCTGTACACTTTTATTCGACTTTCTATTTTTTTTTTAATGGAAACAACAGTGGCGTGAATGTAGGAGAACATTTTTGTTCCCCAATGACCATTACATCCATCATCAATATCAGCACGTTAGGCGCCGACGAGCAGGGCATGCAGAGGGTTCCACTTCCAGAGATCTCCCCAACGGAGAATTGCCCCTGTTTTCACTGATAGTCCGGCATGTGAGATTATGTAGTGAGTGTGTAAGGAGAGACGAGTTAATAAGAATAAGGAAGAACAGATCGCGCGAGATGTGTAGCCGTTTGTTTCGGTATTCGCCTGGTATTGATTGGAGAAACTACGGAAAACTACCAAACAGCCAGGCGCTAGTACTTCCCTCTAGACTGCGGCTCCATTTTACCAAGCTGAACCGGCTGAATTTCATATAGCTATTATCGAAAATTCTTCACCATCGGAAAATTAACCCTAAAACCTTCAAGTCAAAGATACTTCAGATTCAGCAATTGTTACTAGTAAGCCATCGCAGCCAGTATATGGACAATCGAATTACAAAAGATCAAGTAATGAAGTTTTTTGATTTTTTGAAGTTTCGTTTTTGAAGTTTGAGTTCTCGATTTTGAAACTGTAGAAATTCGAGTTGAGAGGTCGAGTTAGAAAAGCTGGAATTATAGATGTTCGAGTTATCGATGTTCAAATTTTCGTGTTATTGATGATGAAGTCGTTAAAGTTTGATACGAAGATTATCGAGTTATAGATGTTCAAGACATGAATGTTGAAGTTCAAGAGGTTCGAATTGAGATGTCGAGTATGGTCGAGATGTCAAGATGGTGGAATTCAGGTGGTGGAATTATTTGTTCGAGATATTAATGATCAAGTTATAGAGATTCAAGTTTCAGAGGTTCGAGTTGAGAGGTCGAGTTGGCGTTGCCGGAATCACAGATGTTCGCGTTGTGGATGTTCAAGTGGGAGTTCGCGACGGAGATGAACGATATGTTGACGTTGCAGAGGCGTATGCGCGTGTGCAGGTGGTGACGCGGCCTGTGTGCGTGGGCTGCCTGGTGCGCGTGTCGGAGACGGACTGGCACGCGTGCTCGGGCTGCGGCTGGCCGCTGTGCGGGCCCGAGTGCGAGGGCGCCGCCGCGCATACGGCCGAGTGCCGCCTCATGCGCGACAAGGGCTTCCGCGCCAACCTCGCCTTCACGCCGGGCAAGAAGGAGGCCGCCTTCTGCGCCATCGTCCCGCTCAGGTACCCACATCAAAACAGCCCTGTTGCCAAACATACGGGTTCAAAATTAAAACAACGATGTTAACAACAGGGAGATTTTTCACGCCATAGCGTACAACATTCGAATGCAATCTCGACCCTACGCTTGCGCAGAAACACAAAAGTGACGCGCAACTTGATCAGAGCATGCGCAGATGATCCACAGTGCTGTAGAGCGCTGTGACGCTTCTCCGTGCACACGCTACCTAATAAATAGACTATAAACCGTCCATGTTTTAAAGCTGGTTTACTAACCTCTAACGTTAAATTCGTGCGCAATAAAATTTAATTTGACAGAGGCCATGCATATCAATTAATAATGAAAATTTAACTGAAAACAAACTTAAACTAGTGCTGCTTCAGAATGGCACAGACTTTACCGTAGTAAAGATTTCTAATTTTATTGTGTGGATTGATTTTACGGTCTTGCTCTATCCTCCTGCCAGCTGCCATCTATTTCCGCCCAAAGTATTTTTTTTTTATTTTCTCAGTTTTTTTTGGTTTCCTAACAGTAATACAAAAATATTACTTTCAGAATATTGTAGACGAATAAATCCTTATCATAAATTGGAAAAATTGGAACCGTTGTTAACAAAATGGCATTTAAGCGTTACTGTAAATGTGAAATTTGAAGCTCTTTTTCACACAAACCTTTTAAGTTTACGAAAAATTTCATTAGAAGGCATTTGAAGCACATTTGCTCGCAAATACATTAGTGTTTACAAATTGCTGAAAAATTACATATCAACGGATTGAGAGATATTTAAAAAATACATTTGTGTAATATTTGAAAACAGCACAAAAGAATACAGCAAAAGGAACTTATTCCATTTTAACAGTACAATTATAATTAGCCGCTGGAAAAGTTTGAAAAACTATTGGAGACATTTTTTAGAAAATGCCGTTTGAGCGTTTCTGGAAATGTGGAATTTTGAGTTCACTGTAAAAACTATTGAGTTTTTGAGAAATTATATTCGACATTATTTAAAGCACGTGTACTCACAAATACAATAATGTGAATAAATTGCCACTAATATAAATACCGGGTGTTTTTTTTATTGTTCGCCGAATATTCTGGCCACGTTGCCCGGGGAAGCGAGAGCTCGGTCGCCAGGCGAAACGCCGACTTAACTCCCGTGCTGACACACGGGAACTATTGCTGCGCTTATCTTACCTTACAGAAGATGCTGAAAACGGTGTCCTTCGGTTCGAATGTATTCTTGTCACCTACGGAACATATTCTGATTCCCTTTTCTGATGAAGCATGGTTCCATCTGGGTGGGTACAACAGGCAAACAAACTTCTATTGGAGAGCAGAAAACCCCTACTTGCTCCACGAAGAGTATTCTAAGTTCTACAGTAATTAACAAGGACTTTCTTTTTTCAACACCACCGTTACTTTTGATGTTTACATAAATAAGATATTGACATTATTCTCCGAGCAACTGTCACCACAAAAAAGACTAATTAACAGGATTCGGTAACTGCTCACACTGCTGATCGAACCACGAAATTTTTAAATACTAATAATAGTGTCTGAAATAATTCGTCGTGGGTTATGGTCTCCTAGGTCACGTGATCTGACCCCTTGTGACTTTTCCTTTGCGGATTCTTGAAAGATCAGGTGTATGCAGAAAACCGGCATTCAGAGAAAGCTCCTTCGAAGAGAATATCTCAGTAATTCCTCGCGACTTACGTCAAAGGTAAAATCAGAATATCTTCCGTAGGGGTCAAGAATGCTTTCGAGACGAATGACACTGCTTCCAGCATCTTCTTTAAAGTAAGATAAGCGCAGCAATAGTTCCTGTGTGTCAGGACGTAAGCTGAGACAGCGTTTCGCTCGGCGACCGAGTCCTCGCCTCCCTGGGCGACGCGCCCCGAATCTTCGGCGAGCGATAAATTAATCACCCGGTATTAACGACGTGGGAGACAAGTTAAAAGTATTATTTTCTTGTAATTTTTGAAAAAACGAAAGAATAGACTAATATGTCGTTTATATCATCCTATTTAGTGCATTTAGCTCTATCCTTACCAAACGTTGGAAAACATTATTCGAACCCGTTTTTGAGAAAATCTTGTTTTTGTATTTTTTAAATTGTAATATTGAGCGAAAACTACTAAATGTTCGAAAAAATGTATTGGTCCTAAATGAAAGAACTAATTATGCACAACGGATTTCATTTGAAGGAATATTCTCTATCCTCAATTTCGTAGTTGTAGAAGACCGCGAAAAAAATTCAAACTTCTGCAGTTTTCGAAAATTGGGAGTTAGCGGTGAAAATCGAACCTGTACCACCTTACAAGTGTATTTTACTCTATTCTTACAAGAAATATTTTACAAAAATTTTAGCCATTTTTGAGAAAATTGTGAAAATGTCCGGGCGCATCATGTAAAGTATCCTTAAATTTTAAAGAATGTTTTTCAAACTCTCAAAACTTCGACTCGAGCCAGAGGGACAGGGGTTTCTTCAATTTGGAATAATTCCTACGTATGGTTTAGATGCTAGTAGTGTTTACAGACGGACAGACGGACAGACGGTCAGACGGACAGACGGACAGACGGGCGATTGAAAAAACCTTTTTCTGTGTCAGGGGACCCCAAAACGTGTATTTCCGTTTAAATCTCGAAATCGCTTTTCCACGGCATTACATAACTTTCTCCATACTATATATATACATTCCGTGCATATAAGAGAAAGTAAAAGCGTCTCTTTATATGCGAAATACGGGGAGAGACGACGGAAATACCAGGGCACCAGGGTCATTTCGGACCAGAGATGCTCTGCTCGATGAAAATGGTCCAAACTGTCTTCGTTCGGTTCGAATATCTAAACATCACTTATTATTGCATTCTTTATCTTTTACAAAATTGTGATATGTGACTTTTTCATCCTCGAACAAGAAAAAACGAAAACAAAGTTATGGAGTACAAATCATCGATGTAAAAATAACATCAGCATGTTTATAGAAATAGCGATATTTTGAAAACATCGGCATCAATGTTGCATCCCTAATGTATGGCACCTATGGTGTAAGAGAATATGTGTCATATTGCAGTGTATTTCACGGAAGCGCTGGACATGACTTGGGTATTTACGATGTCGCGTACATCTAATATTTAGTCATTTACACTGCAAAACTTAGGAATCATTCAGCAACAAAAATATCCATTCACATATCTTTCAATATAAATTATTCTAAGAGATTATGAAAAATCCGCAAACAGAATAAATTTTAACAATCTAATTCTTGAAAAAATGCATTTTTCTAATTGATATTATATAGATAATGAATAAATGCGTGAATTCAAAATAAATCACTCCGAAATTAAGAATTAAGAACAGAGTTAACTTCCTTGTTTTTCTTTCTTTGTGTAAATCATATTTTGAATAACGTTTCCAAATAGCATTTATAAACAAAAATAATACAAATTATTGTTTGTTCCTTTAATATATTTTTTATTCTTTTTCATCATTCATATTTAATTTCGTTGTCTGCGTATAGAATTGCTGATATATTGTTTTCTTTGTGATAATATAAATTAGAGAAGGATAAGAGTAACTGTCACTATTTTGCAAGATTAGCTTCAAAATAAATACTCTTAAAACTATAATTTGTCCGACATTTAGGGGACTTAAAGGGTTTACGAGACTCATCGATGTACGTGTGGTTTTGGCAAGCGAACAAAAAGAAGGTCGCGGGCTTTGAGCCAATGCTACACCACAATTTTCAGTGAGCGGCACTTAAAATGCAACCTCTCTACTGACCGTAGGCACACAGAGAATTTATCAAAAACTTTCTCATGAAAAGCGAAAATAGAAAATATATCATTCGAAAATGTACTACATTAATTTGTTAATAAAAATTTTAAAATTCTAAAAAACAAAAATTTAATATTTTTTTCAATTATAACAAATACGTACTGTATCAAAATTTTGACTTGAAATCCTATTTTTTTAAATAAACTCTTTATCACATTACATATATTACATTTTTGCATTGGATACATTTGTTCATATTAATTTCACAGATGCCTTCTCCTTAAAGAGCGAGATCCTGCCAAGTACCAATCGCTTATGGCAATGGAGTCACATCTGAATGAGCGGAGGAAAACACCGTTGTACTCCGTCTACAAACATAACATTGTTGGCTTCATCAGGAATGTCTTGCAATTGACTCAATTTGACGAGGAGACTATCCTGACAATCGCCGCCATCTTGGACACAAACTGCTTCGAGATCCGCAAAGGCGGCTCCAAAGCTCGTGGAGTATATCCCACCGCAGCGCTTATGGCACACGACTGCACACCGAATACGAAGCACGTGTTCAAGGGTAAGGATGATGGAACCATTCACATTTCATAGTTAACCCTACAATCACTAACACGTTATTGTCATACATGTCACGGTTGAAAACCAAAATATGGCCAATATTAGGAGTACCCGCTTAAATCGCACATTAGCCAGACTGTTTGAATGACGCTCATGAATAACGATCATTTCGAACATCATCCAGCTAATAGCTATTGTCGGTTTCAGCCATTTGGTTCAGGCTAAATTAAGATGATTGTCCGAGTAAAAGGCATCTGATGTGGTCCCAAGAAGTATTTTTGCAATTTTCCTATTCCGATGTAGCCTATAGCACCGAAACTTTGCGAGCCTTTCGAGCCAACTCGAAGCACTGTTGCAGACCCAGGAGGTTATTAAAGTCATTTGCGTACAGAGAGTGCACTGCAATTCTGTGCCGGCTGGCGGCGGACTGAGGGTCTGACGACATAAGGTATGACGCCTTGGCAGGGCCGTGCGCGATAAAGGCAACATGCACTCCAACTCCGTCAATTCCCAAATGTGCGGTTTTGTCCTTTGAATTCTAAAAACATAAATTTTTTCTTCCCCAATTCTTAGAAATATTCTCAACACTTAGATACCCTCAAGCACAACCCTGCGTTTCTCTGTAAAATGTCATAAGAAGCTTTTGTTCGTCTAAGACGGAGTTGTGTTTTATTCTTAATGAAATGACTGGTTGGGTATTGTGGAAGAACTGTCAAAGCGGTAGAAAAGTAATTGAACACATCATCTGAAATTGTGCTCGAGCGTCACCAGTAAAACGCTAGAAAACTTGTTTTGAGCATTTTTTTTTCTTTTTCCTTTCAATGGACAGTGGAGATTGGTGTCATACTCATGAATCAGGGTAGCTATTCAGTAATTCTAGATACATTTCACTAAATGTTTTAAATGAGTCAGTATGCATGCGCCCGTTTTGGTTTGTTAAACATATCCTGTTAATTATTTTGTTTTCAGGCTCTGACTTCACTATCAAAATAATAGCAACATCACCTATTAAGAAAGGAGATATAATATCCACGAGTTACACTCAAGCCCTTTGGGGAACTATAGCAAGGCGAGCACATCTCAAGATGTCAAAATGTTTCGATTGTGTCTGCAGGTAAGAAATGAATACAAAATCAGTTATTAGCATTAACTTTTTCAAGTTTATATATTGACAATTCTGTTGGAAGCCAAAATTTATCTATGGATAGGGTGACGAACCAACATTTTTAACTGTAAGTCACGCGATACTGAGACCTGCAAAAGCAAAAATACTGCTGAACAAAACACCCAAAAGTAGCGCGAACACTGATCGACAACATTAAATAAAATTCTCTCATTTAACACTGTAACAAAAATAAATAACAAAACCAGTCTTCACGAATACTGCAATAATATAATACTTGTAAAATGTTGTGTCGCTGACGCTGTAAACTGTTTAAAAACGTTTTTTTCATTTGATGAAAGTGTCTAAATATCATGCATGGTTTTCTTCAAATAAGACCTTACAGACTCTGGCTTTGGACATACCGATGAATCGTAGAAACTGATAATGTTACACTCCCTTTCAAAAACTCTCAGCACTCAATGACCTTGCATGTTACCTCCACATGGGATACGAACTGGTAATATTGCAATTTCAAAATTGCTATCCCCGTAAAAATACTTGCAGGTATAGATGATGCGATTAGTTAGAATTTAGGACAGCTACATTTTGTATGATTTTTTTCCTAATATTCACAAATATGCATTTAAAAGATTATCAGTAAGCTGTTCTTCAGCGTTATTCTCAAAAGATCGTTCTCAATTTGTTCCGAAAATTCTGTCACAATATCTTCTACAACTACATTTGATTCTTCCCGCATTTGCACACATAAGAACGTAAATGTGCAAATTCGAATACGCATGTGCTTCCGATCTCTAACATTACTCACAGTTCTAGTTTTCTCCGTATTCACTTGGCGTTCTTCAAATTTAATAAGTTATAATATAATATACGCAGTTGTTTGCAAATTATTATTAAAAAAACGGCAATACGGACGAAACACTTCACTTCCTATGTTCCTATTCATTGACAGTTATGGCACATGTTTCACATGTTCCAGAACAATCAGTGTTGCCGTCCTCGTAGAAGAACATTATGTCGTCGTGGAGCAAAAATTGTCTCTTAATGTAGGTGGTGTTTAATCAAAGCATAGATCCATTTAGGTGGCGATGGTTTAATTCTCCCTCTACCCCTAAGATGGCAGCACGAAAACTCACAAAAACACAAATTCCTTAGAGTCTTCTGACCGGATCCGAAAATAAATTGTCAGTTCCCCAGGAGAGCGAGGAGATCGAGACGCGTCGAATGACGCCTCATATGTCTCGATTGGTGGACGGGAAATGGTCTAACCATGGTGATTGAAGGATCCGCACACACGCACACTCGCAATTATTCAAATACTGTACAGGGATTTACAGATACACAGTACAACACATCTCTAAAAATCAAGAATATAAACTAGTGGTGCTACAAAACGTGATATATATTTAAAAAAATTACATTTGTGTATTTTTTTAAGAAACAAAAGAATACCCCCAAATTTATTTAGTGCCATCTAAACAGTACAATTAGCGAAAAGTTTGCAGAAAAAAATTGGAGCCGTTTTTGAGACATCATTTGAAGCACATGTACTCATATAAATGCAATAATATGAACAAATTGTCGCTCATATAAATATTAACGACATGAGAGACAAGTCAAACAAATACATTTTTGTATTTAAAAAAAAAAAGTAGAGAAGAATGGCATTTATGTCGTAGAGACTTTTTACTGCACTATCCCTACCAAAAATTTAAAGGAAAAAATTTGAGCCGTTTTTGAGATAATCTTGGTATTGCTATTTTTAATATTGCACAAGTTGCACGCGACATTAGGCGAAAAATACTAAAATTTTCAAAAAATGTACATGACCTTAAAGAAAGAAATAATTATGGAAAAAACACTCGAACGGAAAATCTCTATCTTCAATTCTATAGTTTTAGGAAGGCGTAGAAAAAATCCAACCTTTTGCCATTTTCAAACATTCAAAGTTAGCATTGAAATTCGGACCTATGTCACTTTATAAGTGTGTGTGTATATATTATATAAAATATTTTATATATTATAATAAATTTCACTTTAATCTTACAATAAATTTAAAGAAAAAATTGGGAGCCATTTTTGAGAAAATTTTGAAAATGCCGCTTCGTGTAAAGTACCCGCAAAAATTAAGGAATAATTTTCAAAATCGCAGAGCTTCAAGTGAGCTGATCGACAGCGGTTTATTCAGTTTGGAAATTATCCTACGTATAGTTTAGGAGCTAGTGATGTTTACAGGACTGACGGTCGTTTTGGAAGAAACACTTTTTTCGTATCAAAAACCCACAATTTCTTAAATCTGACGACATAAAGTATTAGAGGGAGTGATTTACAACATTTTAGAGTACAATTTATCCACATTTTCTACATCAGAGACGCACAATACTACTTTTTCTGTTAAAAATCGCCGTATTTTGGCGCAGCATTACATAACTTTGTTTACTAAGTATATTAATTCGTATAGATGAGAACGTAACTATAAGTAAGATTCTAAAACAGCACTATTTTCTCGTCTTTGTATGGTTATTTAATTTTATTTATACCACAATTTATCACCGAACTATCGCCTTTGTCATCATTTTTTGTAAAATTCATTATAAATCGTATAACATTTGGGGCGAAACTAAATATTTTCAAGAAAATATCAACACAAAATTTGACAATTATAACTGCTTCTCATGCAGCTAAATCATGCCCCTACAATGAGAAGTAATTGACAGAAATGCAACTGCCGAGTGGCGGCACAGAATGCTATTGTTGCATTCCAATCTCATATTTCCCGGAGGCTAGCAATTTTAGATCATACATTTCAGGTAGGTTTTAAATAATGTCTAAAAGATTAATTTGTAAACGTATAACAAAAGAGCGAATGTACATAGAACAAAGTAATATAAAATAATTAAGCTGCGAATTTTTGCCATTTTTTTATTCTTCAATGGACGGAATATTTTAAGTTACTTATTCATTTTGGGGCAGTGGAAGTATAATATGAGAGTTTTATAGTGGTTATAAATGCCTATTTCACTAACAAATACATATTTTATGTTTAAATGCCTAAATGTTGCCTATTCTCGTAGTTAATAAGAACTGCACCATTCTCTTAACGTTCTTCACACTATCCAAAAATCAAATTTAATCAAAAACAATGGAGCCATTTTTTTATTTTTTTATTTTGAAAATTTTTCAGAAGCTGCATGTAAAGTACCACATAAAATTAAAATATCGGTTTCAAAATTCAAGGGCCGCGATATCAGCCTCACTCTCACGTGTTTTTCATTTTTCGCAAATTATGTTTTTGAGATTATATTAATTAGCAAAATTTTCGATAAAATGCTTGCATCGCTAAAGTTAATCATTTATAGCTCGAGATCTAATTGTAACTGAAATTTAATATTTTGTGACTTTGAAGAATAAAAAATGCTAAATCATTTGATTCAATTAATTCAATTTTTAAAAAATCATTTTTTGACCTATTTTTTTATTTTTTCCCAAAACAACATTTTAAAAATTTGAAAAAAAATACTATTGTAATCTATAAAAAAATATCTAAATAAGTGTGGTAGGGTACTAAGTGGGCCACCGAGATGAATCTGAGTAATTAAATATAATAGAAATGTCTTCTTACTGTTTTGCTGCCACGTCTGTTAGAGCGTCACCCCTCAAATGACGTGCCAATCAGCAGTAGACGATTACTATCAATATACTTTCACAGAACAATAAACAGAAGTATCCCTTCACGTCTTACTATATGCCAGATATGTACATATGACGTTCATAGACAATTAAATTCAAATTAAAAAGTGTCAAACTAATTAAATTTAGTATTAATAGTATTAAACGGACAAAATGCTTATACAAATAAGAGTAAGTGGTACAATTAATTAAATTGATACTTCTTATACTTCACTTTACAGAGAATATGGTTAATTGACCTTTTCATAAGAAAATGACACAATGTATTTTCTTTGTGCCTTCTGTTTTTTTATTATATCATTGTTGCAATAGACCTCTTTCTAAATATTCAGCGTTGCTAAAAATATAAAGGTAATGTTCTTCACATTATCATCAACCCACTTAAATAACTTTCTGGTTTCCTTAAATAACTTCCTGAGTTCCTTAAATAACTTCCTTAAATAAATTAATTAAAATTAAATGGGTTCTTATCAGAATTGAAGGCTAGCTTTTATTAAGAATATTATAGTTGTCCCCTTCACTACGTTGCAAAGTGCCTTTCCATAAACGTTGCGAAGAGAAGAAATGCCATACAACCCTCACATTCAAGACATCTTTTTGGAAGCATAAATTATCTGTGTTTTGTAATACTAGGCACTGATCCCATCCGAAAAATATGTCTGTTCATAAACTTGCTTGAGAAGTGTTTGAGTTTACATTGGCAATAGTGAATTGAATTCGTGTCGTGTTTCAGGCATCCAGAATTTTTCTTTAATGTTTAAATTAGTTGCTTTCTCTAAAGTATAGAACAAAAGGATGCAGAGTAGCCAAGACATTAATTCACAGCAGTCACTGAATTACATCTTAAAGTAAGAAAGTATAATTTTCTAAAAAACTCACACTGGCCAATGTAAAATTCCCTGCGTCAAATTTTATTTTTGTTTCATGAAGAGGGGAGAGAACGGCAAACGATGAGTGAAAACGGCAGAAGAAACAAGACAAATTACTTTATTACTCGTATCAGGTGATTTGTTAGGGTGTCCAAGACCAGCAGTGTACATTATTCCTCATTGTCACTTCCCAATATATTTGCGGCATTAATAAGTATGGACGATTCTCACTTTCTTGAAAAAAAATTCACTTGACTCGTCACGAGAAGGAATTTTGAAAACTAGTTCTAGCAATAATATAACTATGTTTGTACGGCAAACAGACAATTTTCAACTTCTTAAGAATGCTGGATGTAATAACCTAAACGTACACTACTTCTGCAATTTTAGATTTTCTAATTAAAAAAATGCAAATAACAATAATATTGAGAGCGTGGGCTTCTGCGGCCGTAGTCAGTATTTAATTGGCTGTCCGGTGCCGCCGCGTTCATGGCAAAGGTGCAGACATTTTCGGTCGCCATTCTGCGACCTTCCTCAGGCCGTAATGCCAACGGCCCTGGCATTACGTCCTGAGGAAGGTCGCAGAATGGTGACCGAAACGTCTGCACCTTTGCCATGGACGCGGCGGAACCGGACAGCCAATTCAGTAACAATATTATTGATATTATTGTAAGTCTATCTGTAGATACTTGACAGAACAACGCACATGTTTCGCAAATTCCTCTGTTTACACAACTGACTCAGTATATCTGAGAAAGAAGGCCGTATTGTTACAGTCAGACCCTAGCCGTGACAGTTGTTTATAAATAATCTTAATAGTCGCATTTCGTCAGAAAACTTGCATTTGAGATCGTTTGTGTTTTTCTGCTGATATAAGCATGACATAGGTCTCACAATTGCATTATGTTTGGCCGTCACGATGCGCGTGTCATTGCCGCCCCGAGTAAGCGATTCCGGCTGACAGCAGGCTGCCTACGTGCGCTATATAAATATTCATTATTAAAACTTTATGCATGATCGAAGGGCCAGACATTCGATGTAGTATACAAATCTACCTCGTTGGACATAACTTTCCTATACAATATAATTTCTTTGAATAAAATTACAAATTAGTACAATTACACCAGGACATGCAACATTGGACTACAACATTGGACCAGAAAATTGTAGTAGATCAGGTGCCTCAAAGTAAACATTAAACGTTTTGGGGGCATGTATAGGATTTGAAAATAATCACTTTTTGGCAAGGTATAGTGGCAAATTTCATAACCGAACTTACACGTTTGACACTATCCCCCCGATTTGTAGGAAACTTCTTACGCACATTACTCGGCAGGTCACGTTCTGTCGCTGCCAAGGAGATTTCATGTACCAACCAAACATTTGCTTCTGATTGTTATGTAACTATCAGAAGCAAATGTCACTTATATACCTGTATCCATTTAACTCGGTTTTATTGGTTTTAACTCCGTAATATGCAATTTCTTACTTTATTATGTTCGTTGGAAAAAAATAATATTATTTTCGACCTCTCTAGAAGCCTAGAAGTTAGTCACATTTATTCTGAGAACATACTTTACTGTCATAAATAATAATAAATTTCTGTCATAATAAATTTCATACAACTGCACCAGTGATGCCCAATCGTTTTTTTTTTTTTTTTCCTGGTAAACACTTTCTAAATAAATTGGGAAAGTTCTAGTGAATCTATAAGCGGCAGTGAAAATAATAAAATTGGGTTATTACCATTCTTTTCATATTGAAAAATGGAAACAAAAAAGTAAAACATAATTGCAAATCTTTGACAGGAAAATGTTAATAAAACTAAAGTCTTATTTTTAACCTCTCCACCAAAAAATGAATACAAAATTAATACCATAAGATGGAACATTCATTCTGGTATGTACCTAAGCCAAACTCAAAAAGAAAATAACTTTAATTTCAATAAAAATAACTACTGATTCTCTGCTGAGCTTTAATTATTTACATTTAAATTTAAACAAATTAATATTAGAATATGTATTCTACCATTACAATTCACGATCTCCGTTTTTAAAGATCACAAGACCCTGGGGGTTGAAAACTGCTACTCCATTGTAACAGATAGGCTCTACACCAAAAAATCATTGAGAATGAAAACAAAAGCTCAGGATCGAAATAGCACCAGAAGTATATCTATGATATGGCACACATTTCACATGCTTTGGGCGCCACTCACAAGAGGTGTTATTTAGAGTATACTGGCTTAAACAATAATGACAACTATAATTTAAAGTATTCAGACAAATTTGCACAAATTCTATGCTTGGCATGGGTGCCTGCATACATAGGTACGTGTGAATAGCACTAACTGTCCAGAAAGGTGGTTTTGATTGAAGCTATTACAAATGAAATGAAAATGATTTCACATGAAATTATAATAATAACATGTACTCTATAAGAATATTACCACAGTATTACACATGAACTTCAGATTTGACATTGAACTCAGTCTGGACAACATTCAAAAAGCAATCGCAATGCTCTTGTGATTATTAATATTATTAATTCTATAGTATTTCTTAGCTGTACTACAATAGATTGATGGAGAAACAAAGACCCCAGGAAAAGACAACACAACAAATATGACAGAGGAAGTAAAAAAGAATCAGAAGAAATGGCTGCTCTTAAATACATCACTGTAGCAGAGAAATATAGGAAGACTGAGAAAACAAGGGATCACATCAGAACACATCAGGAAGATTAATACATTTTCCAGGCCTACTACTCAACTAAAAACAGCATCAGATTTTTGATTTTACAGTGCATGATGATTAATTCGATATTATTATATTAGTACAAAATTAGTTATATGAGAGTAAATTTATTTGTAATTGGACAAACAAACTTAACAATATTATTTTGTTCCCACCCTTTTGAATGAAATTTAATTTATTTAGTCATAATTGTCCAAATTTAGGGGCAACATGGCAAGATAGTTGTAATTTGTAGTTTTATTATTATTGCTACATTATTTTATAATTCTACAGTCATTAAAAATGTAATCTGTCATTAAAATTTAACTTACAATTATTGCATTATTTGAGAAATTGTTTTAATTGGATTTTTGAATTTGATTCTAAATTTTGTGATATTTTGAAAATGTCATTATTCTGCATAACTGGTTTTGTTGTATATCTCTACCTATTATGCTCTCTACAGAATGACCTAATAGAGCTTTTATGGAACCATACTGCATTTCAATAACAATGGAACTCAGTTATTCAATCATCCAATGCATTTCTTTTCCACTCTGATACTTTTCACCATTAAATGCAAAAATTTGTAAGATAAGAATCAATAAGCTGCTTCTCTGTAATAACTATTGAACAATTGTTCATTTGAAAATTAAATTAAAAAAATATGGTTTTAGTAAATATTTCTTTAAAAAATTATTGCTTCTTAGCCAGCAAAGGAAATAAAATATTTTAATGACAATAAGTTTAATAACTATTACAAATGGTTTAAAGTTTAAAACAAATATCTGATGAATTCAGATGGTTAATAAGTCAAAGAAAAACAGAACACTAATACAAGATAATTTTATCCACAGACGATGTGCTGATCCAACAGAATTTGGCACATATATTGGGGCAATCTCTTGTTCTAAATGCAAATCCTCCGGGAATGGAATTCTGGATCCTGATAATGAAAGCAAGGTAGTATTGAAATTTTACTATTGGACTAAGTAGACTATGCTAACAATTTCTAAACCTGCCTAGATTCTGCCATTTAAATGATTAATTCACAATAATGTGTTATTGAAATTTAGTAATTTTCATCATGATTTATTTATGTCAAATTAATCTTGTGTAATACTATTTTTACTTTCTCAGATATGTACATATATATGGAGTACTTACTGTTCCAGCCACTATCTATCACTACCCAAAATATTTTTTTTTTTTTTAGAAATATTACTTTAATAATGTTAAAGAAGAGTAAAACCTCGAGATAATGACAACTTTCATTGAAAAATTAGGAGCCGTTTTTAAAAATACGGCATATAAGTCTTACTCTAAATTCAAAATGTGTCTCTCTCTTTCACTCTATCACTCTCTCTTTGGGGGTGATAATTGTACTCAGATGAAAGATAGAAAATATTCAACAAGGCAAGCTTTTATTTGCCAAACATAAGAACTTATTCGATACAGTGACTACAATATCAGTAGCAAACAAATAATACTTCCATATTTAGTTGTTTTAAAAAGTTTTATAATGTCAAACAGCAGAAAATTAATATTCATTTTCTTTTACAAAACCATACATTGCATTTCAAGCACAAACCAACACCTTATTCCATGCATATTGACACAACAATACTTTTGCATTCATCATTTTCACATCTTATCTTTTTATTTTCTACTTTCCCAAGTAGATGATCAACTCTATAGTAGCGAATACCATCCAAAACTTACGTTGACCTCTTCGTCGGCAGAGCTGTCAGACCCACAGATTTGACAGCTGTTTTATATCTTATGAGGTATGTGATGGCAAAGTTTCTTCAGATTTCCAGTTTACTGGTTTTCCTTTTTGTCTTCTTGTAAATCTGCTAGGCATTATTTATCACTGCATCTATGAACATCAATATTGTCTAGTACCATTTCTTACCTCTGATAGATATATAATACTCATTTATATCTTGATCCATTCAATCAGTACTACCCATATTCCTATTGTATATGCTAATAATTACTGTCTGAGAAATATTTAGATGGTTTTCACCTTTAATGATGTTGGAGTTATCGACAGAGCAATACAATCCCATCAGAAGAGTGCCTATCGATTTGCCGAGCAATCGACTAATGGTCCTGTGTACTCTTTAAGTAGAGCAGTACTATGTCTGTGACCGTCGAGGAGAACGCGTGTGGTTTAGTGTGTGCTAACAGTATGTTGTGCGTCACGAGTTGTAATCCGCCTGTAATCAGGGAAAGATCTGTCGACAGACTAGGGTGTGAGGTGTCCATAATTCCAACAGGTTATGGGCCCAGAGTTACGCGAATAGATACGTGAGAACAGTTTGAGCAAGTGCGCGAAAGTCAGGTTATTGTTTTCTTTGCTTTTGTTTTAAAACACGTACGGCGAGAAAATGAATTCGTCTGGCGTAAGGTTTGAAACTCTAAATAAGGAAAACTACGACACCTGGAAGATACAGTTGCGTGCAATACTGATAAAGAACTATGCCTGGGGTTACGTGAACGGCACGAAAGTAAAGCCGGAATCAACAGGGGCCAACGCCGACGCCATCGAAAAGTGGTCCCTTGAAGACTGGCACATCTCTCTCGGACATTTGAACGTTCCGGATTTACGTGATGTTCTTAAGAATGGACATCTGTCAGGTATCATCGTGAACAATATCGACCAAGATCTCGAAAGCAGGGTTTGTCTGTAAGGGAAGATGTGCCGAACTCCGTTTCCTAAGGCTTCAGAACGTTCATCGGTCGCGGGCGACTGGATTCATTCCGACGAATGTGGACCGATGCGCGTGACATCGTATGGGACGAACAAGTATTTCTACACATTCATTGACGACCATTCGCGCTAGTGTGAAGCAAAGTTTCTGAAGAGCAAAAGCGAAGCTGTCAATGAATTTGACAATCCGGAGCAGAACGGTGTAGCTGAAAGGAAGAATAGGAGCTGATGGACACGGCAAGGTGTTTTTTGGTCCAGTCAGGACTGCCCTCCTCTCTCTGGGCTGAGGCGGTGAACACGGCAAATTTCATCTGCAACCGATGCCCCTCGCGTAAACTAAACGGGAAGACACACAATGAAGTCTGGTTCGAAAGAGCACCAGATGTATCAGACTTCAAGCGATTTGGCTGAGCAGTCTTTCATCATGGACAGGTCACCCGGAAGAGGTAAGCTCGATCCGCGCTCAAGAAAGGGCTTCGTTGTGGGCTACGATGCGGAAACTAAGGACTTCAGATTATCTGTATAACAAGTGAGGGGAAGGTCGAGGTGTCCAGAGACGTCAGGTCAGACCACAGCCTCTGACGGAATCCAGCACCAAGTCTGAAGACTTCCGACCGGAGGAGCTCCATGCTGAAAAGGTCCCAGGGCTGCTGGGAAGGGATGAGGTGGAGGCCGATGCAAGTCCTTTCATAGAGTTGAACTTCGGCCGAGTCGGAACAGCAGAGATAGGGAGGCAATAGAGGAAGAGTCAGACGGCGAAGCTTTTCGCGGATTCGCGCCAGAGGAGCCAGAGACTGTGGTCAGGCGGCTACCCGGAAGACCTCGCAAGATCTACACAGGACAGCCTGGAATTGATTCAACCTCGATTGGCCCGTCTGGAGGGCAGGTGTGAAGGCCAGCGTGTAGAGGAACTGGCTGAGGTTGCGAACGGAACCGAAGTTTCCGTCAAGCAAGCCCTTTCTGGTGAGGACTCTCAGGAATGGTTAGAGGCTATGGCGAGCGAGCTAAAGTCCATACTAGAGAAGAAAACCAAGTGCCAAGACCGGAAAATAGGGGTGTGATAGGGAGCAGATTCGTTCTGAGAAATAAGTATGGAAGGAATGGAGTGTCAGAGACTGACGACAAATCCGGTCTTTTATTCTCGAACAAAACACATAATGTTCACCATCACTTTGTTCGGGAAGTCGTGGAGTCAGGGCTACTAAAGTTGAAGCATCTGGCATCGGTGGACATGTCAGCCGACATCTTCACCAAGGCCTTGACCAGGTCGAAGCACGAAAAGTGCGTAGCGCTGCTTGGACTGGTGAATGTCAAGTGAAGTGTGGGGTATTTTCTCGAGGAAAAGTGTTGGAGTTATCGGCGATACAATCCCATCAGGAGACTATCGATATGTCGAGCAATCGGCTGATGGTCCTGTGTACTCTTTGAGTAGAGCAGTAGTGTGTCTGTGGCCGTCGAGGAGAACGCGTGTGGTTTGGTGTGCGCTAACAGTATGTTGTGCGTCACGAGTTGTAATCCGTTTGTAATAAGGGAAAGATCTGACGATAGACTAGGGTGCGAGCTGTCCATAATTCCAACATATGAATATCTCTTTCCATGCTTGAATGAAGATTCTCTGAATTGATGCAACCACACTTATGTCCATATTTCCCAATCATTCCGAGACAAAACTGCCTCAGCTTCACTCACCAATTTATTACAACTCAAATTATCGAGCAGTGTTCTCATACCACGCTCGTTTGCAGCCAGTGGTGTAATGCAAATATCCTCTACCTCTATGATATTATCGTCGTAATCATCATCATCATCGATGCCTTGAATGTCCTCTTCAAGCAACTGAACTAATTCTGCAATTGTCAGCCCAACCCTAAAACAGTATTCCTCATAAAAAAAAATGTTATGAAAATTCAAATTTTTGACTGTGCATTAAAATGAAGAGAAAAATATGAAAACGGTGGAGAGGCATGAAAAGCAGTGGAGAAGGATCAGTGTGACATACATGCCTCCAAAGCTTCCCGTAATAATAATAAAATTAATTAATTTACATTGCTTTTAGAACTATCTGTGAGGGATATACCATTGAGATAAATTGAATTCATAACAATATGGGCTGTAAATTTAACTTATCAACGATCAGGGTCCATCAGAAAAAGTATCATAATTTTTAACTGCAGGAAAAGTATTATAATAAACTGATGAACCAGACCCTTCTGTGAAAAGAATACACTTGCACGTACAGAAATATTGACCTGTAGTGATAGGAATTAAATCGTATTATAACTTGTTTGCTGTGATGTGTATGTCACACATGTCCTTGGAGGGTTAAATTCTCTACCTTTTTATAGAATTTTCTGTAGTCTTTTTGTAATACTCTTTCAGAAGAGATTCTGTTTACTTTCTTAACATATCCCTCATATTTTTCTCTTTTCCTTATAGTATCTTTGTTGAGGCAATTACGTCTTGCTTCATTTTTTATCTTGATGGTGTTTCTACATTCATTGTCAAACCAATTTGCATTTCTTACCTGAGATTTGATTCCTATCTTCTCACCAGCTTCCTTTAGCATCACGATTTTAATGCTGCCCCATTCTAGTTCTATGTCTGCACTGGCTTCTTTCTCTCGGAGGGTCTTCTTCATTGTGTTTTCGTATTGGAATCATATTTTTTTTGGTTCATTGAAATTTTCCTAACTCTTTAGAATTAATTCTTATACTGACTTTGACTCCTACTAGGAAGTGATCGGAATCACAATTTTGTCCTCTTTAGGTTTTGACACATTACATTATATATAAAACGCATTACCAATTTCTTTGTTAACTAATACACGATCTATTTGGTTCACTAGCTGTTCATTTGGCACTTTCCATGTGCCTTTATAAATGTTTTTATGTGCAAATTTTGTACTGCTTATTGTAAGATCTTGTAGTTGGGCCAGATGTATCATCATTCTGCCGATCTCAGTGGTTGTGTGTCGATCATTCTGCCGATCTCAGTGGGGATGTCAAAGTGTGTATGCCTGCTACTTTTCTATTTGCAATTCTTTCTCGAATTTTACATTGAAATCTCCCATAATCAATATCTTATCATACTTGGGTGTCTTGTTGCAAATATTCATTATTTTACTATAGAATGTCTCTTTTCTTTCCAGTTCTTATTCTTCTGTTGGGGCCTGAACACTCACTATTGTTATATTGCAGAACTTGCCCTTTATCTGTAGTTTACACATCCTATTGTTAAAAGGCTAAAATCCCATTATACATTTTTGTGATATACCTCTTACCAGAAATTCAATACCACAGTCTTTCTCTCTACTATACATGAATGTATAGTCTTTCTTTTTTATATATCCTATATCTGGCCATCATATTTCCTTATAGGGCTGTGCACTGCATATCACTTTTCATGAGTTATTCAGCTATTCCTTCTCATTTCCCTGCTTGAAGCATTGTTTGTATATTCCAGGTGGCCATTCTTAAATCCTTTCTCATTATCCGTTGTTGCAAAGGTTGATATATATGCGTCCATCCTGCTTTCTTTATTTGAGACATAAGTTTAAGACACCTAATCAAACTAAAGAAAGTAAGAGAAAATAATATTTAATGTCCGATAAAAGTCATATACTTAAAATCAGACTCTGAGTCCAGAAGCATGTAGTTGTGTCACAATGCATCCCTTGCAGAGCAAAGAAGGAAAAACGTATGCACTGAGTAACATTTTTAAAACATTTCCAGATGATCTCTACAGATCCCCTTGATCCAGCTGCTCCTTGGAAGTGTGAGAGCTGTGAACACACAATTCCAGGTCGTCAAATGGCATGGGGCAATGACGCAATGAAACAAGAGCTTGATGCAGTGGATGTATCAAGGCCTGAAGCACTTGAAAATTTTGTTGAAAAGTATATAAGTGCACTTCATCCCAAAAATTCATTTATTGTACAGGCCAAGTATGCTCTTTCTCAGATTTACGGTAATGGAGCAGGATATGAGTTACCAGGTAAATAACATAAATTAAACTTGTATACCTAGCAGATATGTATTATTTATAAAACTTTAAACAAAAAAAAAAAATAGCATTACAAGTTTTTAAAATTAATTTCTTTATTTAGTATCATCATCAAGAGTTATTAAGCATATATTTTAAGGTCATTAATTTATTGTGGTTTACACTAAAAGTGTAACTAAATTGGAAAACATCATTGTGCCATTTCAATGCTTATATTCATAAATGCTTCAAAGATAGTTATTTTTACATCTTTTTAGTATTTTATGGTAAAAGAGAGTAAAATAAGATTTGATTGCTTTCATAAGCAGAATTGCTAAGTGATGGTAGAAGCCCCGGGAGGCCAAATTCTATTAACTCTCCTCTGAAAAAGAAGTGAGATAGTTCAATAGATTTGTTCAAATATTGACTAACTTGTAAATAGAACATTTTGTTCATTATTTCCTTGAAATTGTTGTCCATGACATGAACATTTTAATCCATTTTAAACGAAATAAAATTCACAGTAGTGAATTAATAGTTTAAAATACAGTAGTTAATAAAATTTTACGTTGTTGTAATGGATAAAAAGTTCTTCAAAATCATTCAATATTTTCATTTATTTATAGAACTACCAGAACACTTACTTAATCGGAAAATAGAACTCTGTCATGAGCTGCTAGAGTTGGCAGATGCACTCAGTCCTGGTATGTCTACATTCCGTGGACTCCTACTATATGATTTACAAGCTGCAATGGTTGTCCAGGCAAAGCGTGACTTTGAGAATGATAAGATAACAAAGCAGAATGCTCAGGTAATTATCAAATTACAAGTCATCTTTTACTAGCCAATTAATTTAACAAGACATTTAAGCTGGATGAAAATGAATGAAAATAATTATAGGTGTGCCATGAGAAATGAGAACTGATTATCTTTTTTTCACACATTAGTGCCTCCAGTTTACCACTATAGGAATTTAAAGAAAGAACATTATCCCTGTATTTTGTAATGTTACTGGTTTTTTTTTCCACTGATTATCTCCTAAGAAAAAAAATCACATAACACTTAAGTTTCAAAGCCTTTCCCTCCAAAAAATTTGTTAAAAACATAACACATTATTATAATGTATATTTTAAAAATTATTTGGTGAACTGCATTTTATTTTCATGTGTTTATTGTGCAGGACATTATGGGTGATGCAATGAAGTTATTACAAGAAGCATCAGAAATTCTTCGTCAAGATCCAGATATGACAGATGAATTACAATCAAAAATGACAAATCTGGCAAAAGAGTTAGAATTAGATTAACTGATTTTCATTTTTCCATGAACATGTAATGTAGATCTTTTGTTTTAAGTGAAAAGAGTTTATTTATTATTATTTTAAACATATATTTAATATCAAAATATTTAATGTTGAATATTCAGAAGATGTTATTGCTAGTGCAATGCACTAACTGAATTTTATGTTAGGAAACTAGAATTAAATAATTTAATGGAAATATACCAACAAGAAGTGAAAATATTTGGAAGGAATATTTACTATATAATTTTCAATAACTTATACACAATGTACAAATTATGAAGATTGCTATGATTGTGTTAAAAAATGTTAATTGCTCACTAGTTTAGATGTGAATGTCTCACTGTGATACTATTCTCCATATTAGAAATGTTTACTGAATCAATGTCTGTTCTATTTCATTTTGTTGATTGTATTTCTAAGAAATTATAAATAGTTCATGAGCATATGTTTCATGAAAAAAATATATTTCAGCAATTAACCAGAAAAAGTAAATTACAGTATTGTGAAAAGAACAGGTTTCATTGTTTTTAATCTATTTTAACTGATGCATTGATAAATAAACGTATTACCCAGTTATGTGAAATAATTTTTTTTTAGATTGAATCTATTCATAATCATATTAACTTCATCATACTTTTACAATGATAAATATTTCAACTCTAATTTTATTGTTTATTATTTCTAAAACTTGAAAAGTACAATAGATTTATAAGTAATAATTTACATGACAAGTAATTGTTCTTATCTGTTCTACAGTCTTTTACTTAATGCTTTAATTTTATTTATTGATTCTTGTATTTAATAAGGTACTAGAGAACAACAAAGAATAAAAGCGCATTTATTTTATTTACATTTTGTTGCAGATTAAATATTTTTAATTACGCAAAAAGGGATTAGTTGTTTGAAGAATTGGTTCTTTTTTATTTATTTAATTTGTTACAGTTCTTCATTTTTTAGATGACATATTGTAAATCTACTAATAAGGAAACTCAGCTAAATTTATACCTAGGTAACACAATTCTCATAATAAGCATACTACTCAGCTTCCATTTACTCAGAAAAATCTTTTTTGTAACATTAAAATTAAGAAATGATATGATACTATTTAATGAAGTAATTCTATAAAATTACTTTTCTATTATGGTTTAAATTTAGGGGAAAATATCAACAACTAAAAAGACAGAAGTGTTTTGTTGAGATAGATTAGTGAAGAAGTTATCATTGGTCACCCTAAATGTAGCATTCAGTGGATTCAGTTTTTGGCTTCCCTTCAAGAGGGTGAACCATCCATTGCTGTAAAACAGGTTGTTCTTTAGGATCTGGCTGATATATCTCATGCTGGACCTGTAGAGAAAAAAATATTTCAAGTTAATTGAACTGTAAATTTATTATTGTAAAAAAAGCAGTAAATTGATTGATAGAATGGTTCTTGGTTTAAGTTAAATTAAGTTATATTCTTTCTGCCAATGTTTCAGCTCTATTTTATACATATTATAATAACCTCAAAATAAGAAGAAGAAAAACAATTACAAACAGTAAGAGAAATAAAAATAAAACATACTTGTATCTACAGATATTTCAATCTATCAAGAACTGTTTGTATCTAACTTTGTAATTTGAAGTTCTAAATATTTTCATCTTTCATTATAATATAGCCCTATCCACAATCATTTTAATGCAAATGTTGACACTAAGAATATAATTTCACTTTTTCTGACCCAAATCCAAGATTCACTCAGCAGCAGGGGTCAAAACATCTATCATCATTAAAAAAAACATCATCATCATCACCATCATCATTAGCTGCAGATTGCTAGGCCAATTGCCTGCTCCTGTTGCCCAGTAGACCAGGAGGCTTACAGCTCAAGGTGTTCCTGATGTCAATGTTACAGGACTAATCTTTGCTTAATTGGAAGGAAATAAAAACTTCATACTGTGTGGTGCATGGAAGAATTCATTACGGAATTCTCCCCTACAGTAATTAAGCTGAAGGATGTGTAAGTCTCAATAATATTGATTTCGAAATTTGAAAATGACAATGTTCTCTCAAATACAATTTGAAAGCAACCATAGCATTGGATTCAAGCCCACTACCTAAGTGAAAAAATGTTTCAATTAAGTTCTGAACACTCTTCAGATTGCCTAAATAATTTCAAATTATGAATGATCTTAATCATGAAGCCTGGAGAATTTTAAAAACATTGAAGGTGGCAGATGAGAAATATCTGATTTGCCACTTGGGATGTTTTAGCAGGCAACTATCACTTCTACAGAAACTATCTACCTAAGCAAAGGCAGCAGTCATATATAACACAAAATAATCAGTAAATTTCCCTCCTTTGCTTAAGCAAATTTTTCAGATTAACTCTTCTTTCTGAGGTGTTTTCAAACAAATCTGTATATTAGCAAAGATAATACAATCTCATCAATGAATTTGGTTAGGCTCCTTTCACATCACTAGTGACCATGATTGAGGGCAAGTACTTATCTCATTAAGAAGGAAATGAATTTTTTGTAATGTAGCTCAAAAGCATTACTTAGACCTAGACTTGAGGTTCTTATGAAACCTAGTAATCTACAATGAGGTACAACTGGATTCACTTTCCTTCCAAAGGAACACTTACGAAGTATTAGTGAATTTTTTATTTGTCGTAGCTTCATTTGAACCGTCAATTACAATTACTAGATTCATTATGTAAATGATTCAATATATATAATAATAATAATAATAATAATAATAATGATAATAATAATAATAATAATAGTAATAATAATAATATAATAATAATAATATATAATATATAATAAATATAAATAATAATAAATAATAATAATAATAATAATAATATAATAATAATAATAATAATAAAGACTAATAATTCAATAGAGTAGTTAAAATCCATTTTTTGAAGAAATCATATAATGAAAAATAGATGTTGACATAGTTATTCACTGGACGACATATTATCTACTGATATAAAGGTGAATAAGAATAGGCTTTATTTTTTAAATAAAAATAAAAAATAATTTCAAATTATTATAAAAAATATGGGTTAGTATTAAAGAAAAAATACGTAGAAAAATGCTTTAAAAGTATTAATTTAAGGTAATATGTATATTTGTTTTCAAAAATCATTTTCCTTTTCTGACAGCCTCTGCATAGGGAAGATTATTTTTGGCACTTTTACTTACCTTTTCAAATTGTTTGTCTTTTTTCTGAGGAGGAGTCACATCACTGCTTCCACTAGTTCCACTAAAGAGCCATCTAGAAACTTCCATGCATCGCAAAGCTCTCTTGAAATTCTCATTAGAGAATCCATAGATAAAAGGATTTATAGCAGCATTGATAAATATTAAATATCTTGATATAAACCATAAGACCACAAAATGGTCAGTGATAATCTAAACATGAATTATCTTAATGTTGCTATTATAAAACTTTCAACTACAAATATACTGTTTAAATTGTTACAAAATTAATTATTTTTGTTTCAGCCTTAATGAAGAAAAATAATGAAAAGACAAAACATTATCACCTGATTTTGCTGACTATTTCTTAAAAGTTCAGTCCTCCAAAATATAAGAGCTGTGTATGGTACACGAAAAATGACAAAGACAGTCAAAACAATGAATGTTGTGCGTATCACTTTCATTTTCCATTTTACTGTTCTTGGATTTTCTCGACTCAACACTTCCTTCTCATAACGATGCAACTAGAAAAACAAATCCATTTTTATGCAAACTATTTTTAAGCATTTTTGAATAAATGTCATTTTTGAAAAAAACATTACTATATTTCGGTTTCTTCTTGACACCATCCTCCCCAAAATGTGTATTTCTATAAAAAACCTAGTATTAAACTTTTACACATCTTCAATAGTTTCTGTGTGCTAGAATTACCAAATCTAGAATTAGTGTATTTACTATTTGAAGGATAAATTGCAATTATGATATTTGCTTAAGGTTCATGTTAAATGTATATACTCACTTTTATTATAATTCCAGAATAACAAGTCACCATAATGGTTAGTGGCAACCAGACAAGGAGCACAATTATAACATTCCAGTAATGTGGAAGGACAGTTTTAGTCTCAGTACAATATTTCTCTAGAAAATTAGCCCATTCTCGTTCCTTTGAAAAAAAATGCATGGAAAAATTAGTTTTCAGTAGTAAAATTAGTTAGTAGTAAAATTAGTAAATTTTGAGATAATAAAAAGTTGAACTAGAGGATTATTTATAATAATACATTTTTGTTTTGTATTCCTAGTTCTTTCATTAAATAATTTTCACTTTCCAGATCTGTTCAAATTATTAGCCTTGGCATTCAGCTTTCAAAGAATTTTATTTATTAAGCAAAAATACAATCTGTATAGCAAATTAATTATAATAAATTGTCTTACACATTTGCAATAATTGAAACATACATTTCTCAAATTCAATCAATAAACCATATACAGTAAATCTTGCCCAATGCAGACATGTATAATGCGAAAATCTGACTAATGTGAACTTAAATCACAGTCCTGCCAATCACATTTTTTACAGAATTACATTGCATGAAGCAAAATCTTGTCTAATACGGAATAAAATTCTGGTCCCTTGAAGTTCCATGTTGAGCAAGTTTTAATGCATTTAAATTAAATAGTTGTAATATAACATAGTATGTACTAATTTTTTTTTCAAGAACAATCACAAAAATTTGTATTTAGTATGGAATACTTTATTTTTTTATCAAAGAGTCCACTCTTTATCGCAATCCTTCCGTAGGTTTCATTCACTTGAACTTCAAATCAACACTAGTATGCAATAATGAATTGATTTCCTCAATCAACTGATTTTTTGTTGAAATCTTCATATTTTTCAATTTCATGAATCTCCAAAGGTTTTCTATATGGTACACATTAGGATTCTTTTCTGGCCATGGAAGTAAGCTTGTATATTTTTTCATGAGGAATTCTTTTATGATTATAGCTCAGAGACAGGATGCGCTGTCAGGCATAAACTCATAAGGGTCTTCATTAAGTCAGGTAGCTAGTTTTTCCTTAAGAACTTTTAAGAATTGGTTTTGTATCATTCCCTCTATTCCCATTATTCCCTTTATAATATAGACTAATTCTATAATATATATTATTCCATATTCTACATTTTTATTATTATTCTAACTCTATATTATAGTCACCCAGGATCCATGGAAAACATTATGCCCCACTCCATAAGTGATTTTAGATGTTTAACAGTTTGTTGGACACATTTGAATTTGACGGTCTCATCAAATCGACTTTGAACATATGTGGAACATTCATCAGATTCATGAAACATGATTCATCACTATAGCAGACTTTCTTCCAGACTTCACATGTTCAGTATTTCAGACCTCATACTCATTCAAGACTGTTTCCTGCAGTTGCAATTGCAGGTGTTTTTGCTCTTTTCCTGGGCCATTGTGATATTTGCTCTCTCCACAAAGAATTCTCATACTTCCTGGGAGAACACACCCTCTATACTCAACCATTTTCTAACTTAATTCTTTAGAGGTATCTTTTGTGTTCTTCAGAGCCGAATTATTTAGTTTTCTGATGCCTTGAGAGAGCTTTAATTTTCTCTCACATTTTCTACTCTCTTTTGTCAACATATTTTGTTTTCTCTCTTTGCAACCCTGACTCTCAACAAATTTGTGACTAATTGTATCTTAGCAATATGCCTCTGCATAGATACCTTCCAGAAGAGATCTAACAACTACAACTTTACAAGAGGAAAAATCATTTCTCCATTTTGCACTGTTAACTTATTATCCTTTCAAGTCATCTAATTACAAAAAGTCTTCACTTTATCAAACCATTAAAAGATGTACCACAATATGCAAAGTTGGTGAATGTCTCACTCTTTAGAAGAAATGTCACCATGCATCACCAATAAATGTCACAATGCCGCCACATATGTAGAGTTGTCATATACAAAACACTTGTACTGCAGAAGCCATTTGCAGATATTTGGGATAGTACTGCTAGCTAATGTTCATTAGTAACACTTCTTTAAAAAAGTGTTGTTACTAGAAGAAGAAACTAATTTGTTGTTGAGTCTAATAATTTGAACAGATCTGTATTTCATTTCATTTCAATCCAGGTCATACTATTTAGTGTTTTCATCATTCTAGTTGGTGAAGTCAAAATTTTGGTTCTTGTGCTGATGTATTACAAATCAGTGGCATTAGGAAAACACGAGCAAGTACAGTCCCCATAATTAATTTATTATGTTTCATTTTAAAATTTATTTAAGATATTTTCATTTAATTTCTTTTCATTTTGTTTTATTTAATTTTATTTCATTCTGTTAGTTGAGTAACTTGCATATTTTTAATGGAATCTACTAAACCATTATTGTTACCATATGGGATTACTGTATTAGAGGGAATTATGTATTAGAGTACCACAGTGGTGCAACTAGGATTTTTCTAGAGGGACACTGAGATTAGTTATCATTTATTGTTGTTTCTGGGAGATCTTGAATCTTGAATCAAAATATATCTCCTCCTTTCAATTTTTCACATTACATATGTAAAATTCATAAAACAAATGTTACCTGATACTTGGATGAATTCCAAGTGTTATTTCATCTCAAAGCAAATTATTTTGACATACTCCATATGCTACATGATCAATTAAGGATTAACAACATAAATTGTTAACAACCCAGATAACAATAATAAATAATTACGTATGTATCTGGGCCATCAAAATCTGAGTTTCGACTAGATGGTTAAATAAATGATTTAATTAATGGGTTTTTTGCATACCTTATACACTCTATAAGCAATAAAAGGAACAGAAAATAAAGCTCCTAGAGACCATGTACCAATCATTATTACATAAGTTCCTGTATGACTGAGTCGTGCTTCATGTGGCAAGATAACAGCTGTCAAACGGTCATAACTGATAGCAGTCACATTCAATACTGCTGTCAGAAGAAAAGCACCTGTTAGATACAAAACAAAATATGAGATAGAAGGCCTGAAATTAAGGTAAACAATACACATTGAAATGTTACATAATACATTACATTAAAAAATTCAAAGTAAGTTAATTTTAAATGAAACTAAGGACAATTTTTGTGTTTCATTAAAATTTTGTGTAAAAAAATAAACCCAATATTTTTTTAAATTTAATTTCTTTTAATTTAAATTTCAATTAAACTTTCATTAAAATTATAATTTTAATTTAATTATTTTATTGTAAGTTTCTTCCCTTTAATAAAACAGACTGTGAATTTTTTAACAATTCATTGCTTGTTATATAATTAATGTAAACTGTTTGTATACTTTGAGAACTTGTAACAATTGTTTTGAAAAAAGCCACTTTTGTCATACTAGTTGACTGGATGAAGTTGGAGACTTGATCATTTATTATGTGAATGACAATTTTTTATCAAAATGCTTTCTATTTATTTATGATGTCAACTAACCTGAACACTGAGTTGTTTTTTGAAAAATACCCCAAATAGGGTTGAAACGTTAATTATATAACATGAAATAAGTTGTTATAAACACTTACAGTCTGATTTATTAAGGTAAAAAAATTTACAATAAAATAATCTTACAGATGTTAAAACATTCATTAAATTAAATTATTATTTAAACACATTATTTTTTATGAATATTTTATGAATTCATTATAAATGCTCTTTACTCAGAAATGAATGTATTATAGTACTTAAAATGCCATTGTTTTTAATTATGTTCATTAAAATGATTATTTTGGAGGTACAAATTTTCTTTCTAGGAAATTCAATTGTTTCTGAACTCTTTTAATTACTTACATTTTACAAAATATCATTTAGTGTGTGTAATTTCCCCCACCCCTTTTTTTTGTAAGCATTTCATAAGGTCTCTTAGGGCTACAAAATGACACAGGACACAATAACATTTGTGCGTAGTGAAATAATGTGCCTCAAGTAAACTATAAGCCAAAAAATTTTAATTTTCAGTACATTTCAATAAAAACTACTTGTCATTTTGGAAAGGGGATGGGAAGAGCAAAGCCTACAATGTGACTCTCTTAAAAACTGCCATAAAACCTATTTGACATTGTTAATAAAATGACTAGGGGACAAAAAAAGTCAATTAAGTTTAAATCAAGTTTTTAAGTTAAGAATAATCTCAGCTAATAGAAATTATTTACTTACAGTTAATGAAGCCTTCCATTTTGCATCCCACTTTTCCCAAGATATAATTCTGAAATGAGGCAGTGCAAACAAATAAAGCTGGACAGACAAGTAATGTAGCAGCATCTGCAGCTGCCATGTTGGCCAAGAGCAGATTTGTGGAAGTCCGTAAAACACAGCGTGAAACAACCGCGTAAATAATAAGTGCATTTCCAAACACTCCTACAATAACAAATGGTAGAAAAGCTAACACTGTCAATGCTATTTGCCAGTCAGGTTTACGAATCCATATTTCTGTAAGAAAGTCGTGATCACTGAAGTTAGGCTGGAAATAAAAATTAAAACAAAACATTTTAATAACATACTCTTTTAATGATAGTAAATTTCATCAAAAATTCATGTGCTTAATCAATTAAAATTGTTAGTCCTCTAAAGAACTATACTATCTAAACAATACAAATTAATTGAAGTTATTAAATTCTATTATTTTTCTATATTTCTATTCTAATTCTTAGCAATGAAATTTAAATAAGAAGACTGCATTGCTTCCACAACACAAAAACTGGACAGAAAGTACAGATGACTAATAACACTTTGGACTACTTTTTCCCTTCCTTTCTTCTTTCTTCAACAATTAGAAAATAATATTTTATGAATGTCAGTTTGAACAAATTCATTATTTTTATTAATAACTTCATTCTTACTTACTCTAACATTGTCAGATGAATCAACAAGTGCACTAATCACAGGATGATACACATTACTGATGTCAAGTTCCCAACTGAGGCATTGAGGAAATTCAGCATTTTCAGTGCAGTTTGCATTAGATGTAATATTGTAATAATGGGATATTTCATCACTTCTCTTTGTAGTAATAGTCTCATGACTCATACACATTCTGACAGATACTAAAATTGTAAAGAAAAGACATGAAAACAATGATTTTGGAAGAAAAAATGCACATGCTGTTTGAATGCACTTGTATAGGCCTACTTGTTGAAGGGAATTGTGACAGTGCGTATTGTACTTTTTAATGAAGTTGTTAATGTTTGGGGAAAGAAACATCTTTTTTGACAGATGAATATTGCTAAATTTAGTACATATGACAAGAATCGGCAACTGTTCTGTTGACCAAAATGTATAGCTCACACAGTCTTCAAAATTATGCTATTCAAACATTGGTTGTGGTCAGAAAGAAAGATTTAAGAAAGTAAAACTGGAGAAAAGGTTTATTAATTCTTAATACAAGATTTGCAATAAGATTTTGAAACTTGGATTTCATAAGAAAAAACAAATGAAATGAATGAAAAATAATTTATTTTGTACAAAATGAAAATCAGTGATAAGTGACATTTGCCAAAGTAATGCTGTAGCAATGATGCATAACAGAAGTTGAACCCGACCTGGCTGAAAATTAATATTATTTCTGTCACTGCTCATTCTTACGGCAAGGTGAATAGTTCCCATGTAATAAGTTTTCATACAATGAGTTTTCTCAATTTACAAAGCAAGAAATTGTGTAGTATTGTTTTGGCTGTACAAATGAAAGGAGTGAAGTGGTGGACCTTGAGCAGCAAATGTGATTTGTGCAAATTGTAGAACAACAGCAGAGAAATGGGCTATAATGCAAAATTTGAGCAAATACAATTGTTTATCTTTCGCTGTACAATAGCCGCTCCTATGGGGACATTGCAAAATTGCTTAACATAAACAAATGTAATATTTTTGACATAGATGATCTTAAACACAAGGACCAAATTGTGTGGGAATGGTTGCTGCATAATTGAACTGGATTGGAAAGAGACTGCAGAAAGGCCGGGTCTAAAAGAACTTGAAATGAGCACACTGAGTGACTTAGAAAAACATTCCCTTCAATACATCAGCAAATTTAGTAGAACTGCCAAAACATCTGCAGAAGGTGTATTTTCCTAATGTTTATATTTTTTAAAACATGTTGCAATCATGTCACAAACTATATAAATAAAGAAAGAACTGAAGCTGTCAGCATTTATGAATGGTATTCTTTCTGAAGTTTTACTGGCTGATGCACTGTTCTCATTGATAATCTTATAGATTTGCTAAGGTTCATTAATAGATTGAGATTAATTTATCATTAAATGCTAATTTGGTTTTCCATCCCATAACTTTACTTGCCTACAGGCACTTAAGTTGTCTACAAGTTTCTTTAATCCCTGAACTAGCTGAGTTTTGTGACAGAAGATAAGGCTTTTCAAATTACTTCTTAATCATGAGTGTTAATCTGAATAGAGGTATACCATTTCTTATTAAAACTCTTTTGAGATATACCACCTTTACAGTTTTTATTGGACATAGAATTTATTCTCCACATTAGCATGTATATTAAAATATTCTGAAAATTGCAATTTAAATCAAAACTGACAGTAAACATTCAACCAATTTATATTTCTTAGAGTAATTACAAATGTAGCAGTAGGTCTACTATAATATGTGATGCGTTAGTCATGTGTTCTACATCATGTTTATGTTAATTGTTTTCAATTTATATTTAATTGGGAGTTTATTGTATTGTGATCAGAGAAACCTACATTAATTACATCAATGTAATGTAAGTATGTATGCATGTGTAATATACATTGAATGAGGTGTGTATAATATCTTTATAACAAAAAAATATTTATGTAATATAAGTTTTACACCCCAATTCTATTTCACAACCTAATCACACATACTCTACATAGACCAAAGTTTATCTGCAAGCATGGATAAAAAGTAATAATAAGGTACTTACAGAGCTTCTAAATTATGCACACTTTCTTGCACAATACTATAAACATATTTAACATGTTTTCACTATTTGAATGGATGATTGGATGCAACAAAAACACCAGCAATTGGCCAGCCACTGGCAGCATTTAAAGTGTTCACTTCATATCACAAAGGGGGTAACATCTCCTGATCTTATCTCTGTAATCCATTAGCACTGATTGTCAGTTGCACCAGGTTCACATATGTTCCATACTTTAGAAAGCTTCATTATCTCCACAAAAAGAGGCCAAAAAAACAACTGTTCTATACTTCCATTTAAAAATATAAACAATGTAAGAATATTCATGACTAGAATTGATTCAAGTGCAAATAATTATTAAGTTGCAGTTGATATAATAAAACCATTTTAGATGCTAATTATAATTAATGTAAGCTACAAATGTTAATATTTTCATGCTATATAGCAAAGTATTAACAATTCTTTCTTAAGCATATACACATGTATTATAAATTTATAAATGTGTGATGCCATCAGCTTCTAGAATACTATGTGCTTAAGTCATGAGAAAATTAATCCAATAATATGTGATAACATCTAGCCATTTGTGAAATATCTACCAAATTTCATTTAAGTGATTAATAACCCTTTTTATGAGGCATTATAAATAATATCTGAAAAAAGTTAATGAAAATAATATTTCAAACAAATTAATCATTTTGTCTATTTTCCACAGTAGCTAATAAGAGATGGTCAATATTAGTATTTTTTTGAGTGTGTGTGTGTGTGTGAGTGTGTGTATTTACTTTTAGGGTGCCATTGACACTTTGTTATCACACATGGGTTCATGATGAGACTCCAGCACCAACCTATGTTATTAACATAAAAAATTCTGGAGTTGTGTTTCCAACACCCGTCAAAATTTTTATGCTGAACAGCTTTCTTATCTCCATGAAGAATAGTTCCATAATATATTCCATAAAGAATACTTTACACCTTTTTTGAACAATTAACTGTTCTAAATTTAATTCCAAGGCACAATATTCAATAAAATGAGTGGACTTATTAGGTAGTTCTACTATTAGGAGTAGGTAGGTAGAATATTGATCACTGAATATATTCTATTTTGAATTCTTAATGGTCCTGCCAGAATTTTACTCTGCAGGATGGATCAGGATGTTCAGTGAATCCCACTGAATTTGTTTCAAACTAAAGATTTATGACTGAGGAACTTCTACCTGTTAACACATCAGATTCTGAGCTGTTTTTACACATAGGCAACTGCAGAGTGGTCATTCAGCCCTTCACTCATAATAATAATCTGGGTAAGATTGACAACAATTTGACAACAACTCGATTAATTATGCTTATTGGGTGAACATAGAATTCTTGTACCAGAAAAATGGCAAGAATATGAAATAAAATCTTTAAGAGGTTTTCAGAAAATCTTCAAAAAACTTGAAGAATTTAACTTTTTCTTCAATAACATTTGAAAAAATTCTGTTTGTTAGCATTATAATACTATAAAACATAAAACAGAATGTTTTTTTATATTTTTTATATATTGATTATGTTTTCATTTTACAAAAATGAGAGTTTTTATTGATTTCATGTGATTTATAATTGATTTTGTAAATTTGTAATTTACACTACTTATATTCATTATTTTACTAATACTATGCTTCTTAATAATTTTTATTTTCCCTCACACACACATGCACTTGGCGCATACCAAATGTCTGGCTATGCATAAGAAATAAAGAGAGATCCTTCCTCAAGGTTTGGAGAATAAGAACGATCATCCCTAAGATTTGTATGTTCAACAATTATGGTCACCTGAAGCACATATCTTATAAAATGGCATGTGTAAAGAATGGTATCAAAAGTTCTTTGCAACTTTGCATTCTAAAAACATTTAGTTCTCTCCTTTAATGCTAAAATATGTGTAAAATAAGTCATTCTGCTGCACTCTGCATTTGGCAACTACACATATAATAATAAATTATCTCAAAAATTTAATGTAATATTTCTGTGTTCTGAAAAGGCCTATGGTATAAAGTCTTAATAAAAAGAAAAAATAGCAAAATGCAAGTAAAATTAATAACATTACTATTGTGCACAAAAGCAGTTTAAATTGGTATTGATTCATTCTTTACTTATCTGAATTATTGCTAAGAGGACAATATGATCCAGAGTTAATTGTCCAAAGCAATTAACATTTTTGAAAGGTTCAGATAAGCTAAAAATCCAGATTTATGAGGTGCAAACAAGAAATTATTCTATATGAAGATAGACAGAATCATGACACTATTAATACAGGTACCTGTAATTCAAAATGAAAAGGCAATATAATCCAAAAAGAAAATGTTAAGGAATTTTGGTTTTCAGTTCTGTTAATTTTTATTATCTTATTATAATAAAATCATGTACACAATTATCCATAAATATTTGTTTGCCTCCAACTCTGACTGATTCATTCTCAAACACTCCAAGAATACATTAGAACTCTTAGCATCATATATTTCTTATATAAATTCAGTCATTTGGACAACTAGGATGCAATTTCAAAACCTTTGAACACATGACTGAAAATTTTCAAGTCTTTGCCACAGCACAAATCTACTAAGATAATATTATTTTAACATAGAATTTAAATTGAAACTGCTTAGCAGCATGTAATAATAAAAAAGGTTTGTTTTTAATTTTTTATTTTCTCTTCAAGCACATATAGATAGAAAATGAAATACTCATAGTATTCATTAACATTATATGTCATTTTTAACATGAAAACAGCTAAAATCTTATAAAAATAATCCAACAAAATGCAATAAATGCTATTTTGTTGTAACTGTAATACCTTAATACTTTCTTAGCTACAGCAATGGAACTATCACAGTTATCTTTAACTGCACAACAAAACTGACTTGAAACTGTATCCACTAACAGCAAGTAAGTTATGAACTACAGAAACACTGGAAGGCATTTAAACGTCTTGGCTGTTCATATACTTTCCTGTATGTTGTAAAATCTCCTTCGCAAGAGCATCTATCTGTAACAAGAAGACATTACAATAAACATGTAAGCTCATATACTCAGACAATATTTTGAAACTTTTAAATCAAAATTTTCTATAACAAATACAATGTTTTATTATTAACAATATTTAATTATGACATATTATAAAACAAAAAAAAACAGAACCTTTCCAATACAGAAATGGAACTGTTTTTCATGTCCTGCACAGGGGAAATCTTTATAAATGGAATTCCTGTGAATTTAATGCAACTGGTCTTGAGATGCGAGATATTCTTAATAAAATGAATGTGTCTGCAAGATTGTTTTAAATTCTCTTTCTCTATTATGCGATTTAGCCGTGGCAGCCGGACATTGAAGGAGAGGGGCTTCAGCTGTCAGCAGAATGTATAATTCAACCTTGTGGTCTCTTATCTCTCAGGGTGAAGGCCATAGAAGCCATAGGGGAATTCGTTCTCTTCCGACTCTTTGAACATGGGAAGGCTTCGAGCATGACTTCTGTTTTATTGTTAACGCTCCTTGCCCTGCATTGAAAATCATAACCCCTAGATACACATTACTCAAGACAATCCAAGGTTATCAGAAAGTCGTAGTACTGAATTGTGATGTTGTGTGTTGAAAGAGTCAGCAATTTTTGAATAATTATGATACAGTTATGTATTTTACTACTTTCAGGGCAGAAACATCAATATCACAAGTGTCATAAAACTGACAACCTTGCATAAAACGCAATCCCTAACCGGAATTTTATTGTGTCCTGATCGATTCTGATTTAAACAGATTTGAGTGCACATTTTCTTGTTTAGTCAAATACTCTCGTAGAATAACAACAATTATAATTGTCCTTGAGACAGAAACATAAAAATGAAAAATATAGTACTTACCCGAATATATGTCGACTCTGAAAATAAGACAACTCCCCCAATTTTGAAAAGACCTGAGATTTTTTTTATTTTAGTCAAAATCAAAATGCTAAATGTCTTATTGGCAACAATCACTCATCTTCACAAGTATCAATATTTCTTTCTTTTTGGTCTTCCTTTCATGCTGCCAGTGCCTGACTTTGACTTATGAGCACCCTATGCTGTCACATGTTTTAGCGCACTTTTTTTAATTTGCCTTTTTAACATTAAAGCTATCTATAATATTTTGAATAAAAAAATAGTACAATATTTGTAATTGATGCAAATATAATGTAAGTATAAAAATAATTGATTATATAATTCTCATCACAGCATTTATTTAATAATTATATGGTATTTCTGTATGCATTTTATCTGTATAAATCCATCGATAAATATTTGATTAAGTAACACTTTCTTTAGTTATAAATATGGAAAGAAATATTTACATAAAAATTCAAAAGTTCAACTTGTGAAATTTTGCCTTTGCTGAAATTCATCCGTCCCAATAATTGCGTGCCCCAGGTTGCAGCCTAATCAGCCAGTTTGGTAATCTGGCACTGTATGCTGTGATATCTGACTTTTTAGGCCCCTCAGAAAGCAGACTGACTTGGTGTTATTATTATTACTATTATTATTGTTATTATTATTATTATTATAATTATTATTATTATTATTATTATCATCATCATCATCATCATCATCATCATTATCATCATCTTTTCAGCAAGTCAACATTTTTTTAACATAAAGTAGGGTTAAATCATCAGAAATTTTGTCTGCTCATTTGCAAGACTCAAGAAATAGGAAAATCCAATGCAACGATCTTAACACTTTTCTCAAATATTATCCCACATCACTAAACACTATATTTACAATTTTTTAATTTTTTTGATGTTGTAGTTAAGTTAAAATATCATAAATATGGCTTTTAGTGATGTAAGTGAATATTTTTGATAGTGTAGGTTGGATTGTGTTTTCATATTTCTTGAATTTTCTTGTAGAAGCACTGATGAAGTCTGCAATTAGCAGATGATATGACAGATAAATTATTACATTATAAACTTGTCGGCTTATAAAAGAAATACATTAAGAAATACAAAAAGAAATACATTAAAAGACACTTAATAAATTAAAAATAATATAGTATATTTCAAATAACTTACTTCACTTCTGTAGAGTGAATTGATATTTTGCTGTACTCTCAAAAGCTCTTGGCACTTCTCAAGCTCACGAACAGTTTCAAGATACTTCCCTTCACTACTATTTTGAGCCGCTTGAGCAAGTATCGAGTCAGGCTCATGCTGAAAGAAGGATAACACAAAACTTCTAGATGTTATTATACGTATCTGATACAACTTCATCACATTTCCTCCACAGAATAAGCCAACCTTGGAGGAGAGCATTACATCTTTCTAAGATTTTGGAGAAACTTTGAACTATGCACAAACAAAGATGAAAATAGTTTCTGTTACGGAATGAAAGTAGAATTTGGTTGAGTATATTAACTCACAAGACAATATACAATTGAGGAATGTAATGGGTTGTTATGGCGGCAAGAGTATTTGGAGAGAGGCTGGCTAGAGTTCAAAAGATATGGATGCATGAAGATTATATCAGGGTATTTAAAGTAAAATGTTTGTTTAAATTACTCAATGAGTAGTGTCTTCAAGTGATTACAAGATGGCAAAACCTTGGGGAAGGAATTAGATATAATTAATTGGTTCAAGAATACAAAGCAAGATATTCACAAACAGAGCTGGTAACACTTTGCCAATTGATTAGCCATCCAGAACTTTTGAACAATATTTTCTTTTTGTTGGAACTTGAAGTGTTTTACTAGGCAATCCTCAAGAGTGAGGACATGGACAGCAACGTTGAGTAAGTGGAAAGCAGTGGCAGCTAAAATTTTATTGGAAGTACCCACGATCAAGATGCCTATGGGAGCATAAATCGTTGCAGAACACAAGTCACTAGATACATAACAGTTTCATTAATGTCACATTAAACTGGTTTAGAAACAATGAATGAAGAAATTAAATCAATTGAATTGTACACTTTGGAAAAGCTTCTACTATAGATAAAAAAATGAACAAAGGGAAACATTTGCAAAATTCTTGGAAACTTCAATGTAATCAAACCTAAAAGGAAACAAATATTTTGTTTTTACCAAATGCAAAATATTCAGGTTCTATATTTTAAGGATTTACATTCATCACTAATATATGACATTATATACATCTAGATGTGTTTGTACAATTGTTGTAAAGTTATGCAGACAACAGAAAAATGGGTACATTTGTATGGTCAATGATGGCAGTCTTATGAAAGATCAAAAAACATGTCGATAAGTGGTTAATTTTTTATCCTTTGAAAAGCAACAACTTTATGAAACAAAAATGTGGTTGATTCCAAGAGTCTGATTTTCTGAATTCACCTTGGCAGCAAAAAACATTAATTTTTTCCTGAGATAATTTTCCATTCATAACAGAAAAATTACTATCATAACCACTGTCACTAAACCATTTATCCTCTAAGAATTCTTATTATAAAATGACACTATCTTGAAAATATAGTTTAGTATCCATAAAAATATTGTCAATGTGAATTTTAAGAAAATACTAATGTAAAGAAATTTTATATATGCCTAATTTCTGAGAGGTTAGTCAAATTATTCTGTTTATAACGCAACACTTACATCATTTAGAAGAAGTTCAGGATCATTCATATTGTGAATGTCAGCAGTTGTTTCTATGGTTACCCTGCAGATAATTACAGAATAAGTCATATTTCATTCATGATATGTAACATATTATATTTTTGAGATAGTTTAATGACTATGTGTTTGAAAAATAAAATCAAATATGACAAACAACTTTTCAAAATATTCCATTTTTTATTCATGCACACTGCAAGCTATATTCTCCTTCATTATGTTTTAATTCTCATGTTTCAGGGTCTTCTTGAGATGTAAATATTAATATAATGAAATTACACATTCCTACCAGATATTCAATGGTATTCCAAGCAGTCTAGTCATGTTTTGCAAGATTATGGAAACGCTGTGAGCAGCAAAAATAATAAAAACATTTTTTAAATATTTTCTGACTTACTTGGTCTTATTTTTCAATATCTATTTTAAATTACTAATGTTATGACGATATCTTTAAATAAACACTTTAATTTTCACTGTAGATTGCAGTAAAATAAAATAATAAAAGTAACATAAAAAATTGTATAACCTTGTTTTAAAAACAACTCAAATTTCAGCATCAAAACTTACTTACCCATCAGTTTTTACACTATTAGAAATCTGAGTCAAATTTGGAGAAATTGAAACACTGAGAGGTGGTTCTTGAGAATGAGAACCTTCAGTACCGCCCTGCAAAAGATTAGAAATAATTAGTATTTCAATTAAAATAACAATTATGAATTTTATATTAATGGTCACCATCATCATGAACTGACCAGAAATTAGGCTCTACAGCTTAATTCTAATGGCTGTAATTCTATTAGTACTATTATTAGTCTTCCAAGGATATTCCTGCTGTTGCCCTCTCTCTTCTATCTCTGATCCCTATTGATTTGTACTTCCAGATTAATTTTGGAAATCTGTTGTTGTTCACTCTCCATGATCTTTCCATCCCCTTTGAGACTGTTCTATCTCTTCTACTAACCATTTGGTTCTCAATTTCTTTCTGATGTCTTTATTTCTTAATCTGTCTCTTCTTGTGATTCCCATGAGGTGTCTTAGAAATCTCATACCGTAGTTTTTATCTCTCTCTTTCATTACCCATATTTTAAAACCATACATAGTAGGTTGAGCAGCTTTATTGTGAATTTTCAGTTTTGTTTCCAGGTCCATGTCTCTGTCAAAGTGTCTCTTAATTGTTCCACTCATTCAAGCACGGATCCATGGGGAGGAAAATGAGGGAATTAAATTTTTTCTATAACTATTAATTTTAATTGTCCCGAAACTTTCAAGCAAAACTATATTTGGATAATCATTAAAATGAATAAAATTGTATCACCACATGAGCTGAGTGTAGCCTGCGACATTTTGCAAAATCTGTACTGACACATTCAACCAAAACATTTTTAATATCCCCTCCCAAAACGTGTCTCTGGATCCGCCCCTCACATATTCCATTGTAGTTATTAAGTTTCTTTTCTATGTCTTCCTGAGTTTGGTTGTATACACTTATGATATTTCAAAGGTATGAAAAATTATTTACTTGTTCCACAAATTTTCCATTTATTAATATTTGGGCTCTCCTTTGTTCCTAGCCTTATATTACCATAACTTTTGTTTCCTGAACTGCTATCTTCCTGGAATATTCTTGGGCCACTTTTGTCAATTCAAAAACTGCTCTTTGTAAATTATCTTCAGAATCCATTACTATAGTTTGGTCATCAGCATACAAGATTGTATCTATCTTCTTGTCTTTTGTGATCTGTATTCCTTGTCTAACTATTTTTCTCCAGTGTCTCACTAAGTAGTTCATATATATGTTGAAAAGGATGAGTGATAATCCACATTCTTGCCTTACGCCTTTCATTGGTTATTATTGCTGCTGAATTTCTCCCCTCTCTTAACAACATCTTAATTCTTGAGTTCTTGTAGAGACTTTGTATTGCATTGAGCAACTGATTTGTAACTTTCTCTTCTCCTAGTATTTCCCAGAGTTTCTGTCAATTAACTTTGTTGTAAGCCTTTTCCTAATCAATAAATATTATAAAAGTTGGTAGATTCCTTTCACTTCTCTTGTCTATCAATATCTGTAATGTAAAGATGGCTTCTTTAGTGCTTCTACCCTTTAGAAATCCATACTGCTCTTCTTCCATGAAATTCTCACATATTCCATTGAGTCGGTTCCTTAGCATATTTGCATATAGCTTAGAAGCTCTTGAAAGCAATGTGATGCCCCTATAATTGCTAGATATCTTTTTGGAGCCCTTCTTTGTGAATTGTTAATAATCAAACCCCTCTTCCAACCTCTATTGGATTACTTTCTCTGCCATACTTTTGTTAAAAGTTATAATAACTTTCTTTCAGCTTCCTTCAGGGCTTTTTCCTATTTTATAATTTTCTTAATACTGCTCGAGTTCTATATTCCGTGAGTTGTCTAGTTCATCATTGTCAGATATTTCACTTGTTTCTTCCAGCACTTCAACAGATCTGAGAGTTGGATTGTTCTACACGATGGAGTAGTGCTTTATCCAATTTTCTTCTGGTATGCCATCTAGTCTGATTTTATCTTTCCCATTCATGCGCAGCAGTTTCAAAACTTAGATACCCATTCATTGAGGGCCTGATACATTTCTTTCTATGCTTTTAACAAATTTTCTTCAGTCTTCTCTCCTGTGAATTCAACTGACACATCTCACTTTGGCCTGTAATCTTTTATATTTCATGTAGTTCTCCACTGTTTGTTTTTGGAGGTAGGTTTAGTACACTTTCTTTTTTTGATTTATCATCTCTTTTATATCATTGCCCCACATTCTCAATCATTTTGTTTTCTTCAATGGTTTATAGCCTACACACTCTTTTCCTATTTTAATCATAGTTTAAATGAACTCCAAAATGTCACGATATTTTGTGTCTCTACCTTCTATAGTTTATCTCTCAGTCTTTTTTCATATAAGGTTCTGATACTTTCATCTTCTAGAAGGAATACCTTGAGTTTTGGAGTTTTTATTACTATTTTCCTTAGTTTTTGTTTGTTGTAATGCAAGTTTAATTTTGCTCTATACCAGATAGTGGTCTGTGTCTACTTCACAACCTCGAAATACTTTATTGTTCTTGACATAGTTAAATAAGTTTCTGCTATTACGTAGTATAGGATTGGTATTGTACCTCTTGCTTCCCAAGTGAATTAGTGATTTTCTTTGATTGAAAAAAACTATTTTTATCCTTAAGTTGTTGAACAGGCAAAAGTTAAGTAGCATTATCCCATTTTCATTAATTGTTTTTCCCCTTCTGTGATTTTGTATGGAGGTATTTCATTGTCACCATTCTGGCATTAAAGTCTCCAGATATAATGAGGAGCTCATCTTTGCTCACTAGGTTTACCAGTTGTAAATGTTTGTAGAAACAGCCAGATTCTTCTCCCCATCCTTCAACTGGAGCATATACTCGTATTATGTTTGTGTTTGTTCACTTTTAGATTCATCGTTATTAGTCATGGGGATATCCAGTTATATTTATGGAATCTTTCCATTTCTCATTTACTATTGAAGCTACTCCTGCTGTGGAATGTTCTTCTTCCTCTACTCCAGAAAACACCCAATCTTCTAGTTATTTAAGACTCTCTATTTTCTTTTTCGTTTCAGTAACGACAGTTTTTTATGTCTAGTTTTTCTTTTCTGATGTTCCATGTTCAATTCTATTTCTTATGAGGTAATTCTCTCACATTTCACGTTCTCACTTTTAAAATAAGGTTAGTTGTATCTTTAGAATTTTAGAAATAGGTTTTAGAATAAGGTTTGTGTCACATTTTTTGCTGGTTTTTAGTTTATAGTGTGAAACTGGTCTTAAAATAAAAATTCAACTTTCTATGCATAACAGTTAATTGTCCATAAACTCTGTGACATCGTAGAGTGTCCTACAACTATTAATGTCCAGAACTGATGTCCAGTCTGATGTCCAGAAATGTCCATATTGATGTCCAGAACTTAGAATCTTTTGGCTTGTTCTTCAAAATTTAAAGCGCCTGGACTTTGAACATTTTTGTTTTCTCCTATTCATATTCAAAAAATTCTGACTAAATAGAGAAAACCCAAAAATCCAAGTAAAATTTCTCCTAGACCACACATTACAAAAAGAAATAGGTGTCAGCCCTTCTACAAGGAAACAAAAAAAAAAGTCTAAAAGATCTATTTATAAAAAATGTGATATTTTCTTATGTTTTCTCAAACATGCATAAATATTTGAAAAAATTCTTTAATGTAACACTGCTATTGGTAAGTACTGCTTAATATTGCTTGTACGTAATATTCTGTTTTCTTGTTCAACATGAATATTAAAAAAATTTATCTAAAAAAACACAGTAAATACTGACATTAATTGCCCATTAAATGACTTTCCTAACACTTCCTAAGGAAATGTTAAAAATAAATTTCCTCCAACAGATCCATAGATGCTCTTAAAGCATGGGTTACCAGGCCTAGCACGAGTAAATGGGTTATAGAAAATGCTGCGCTTAATGAAGGATTAAATTTAGTGAAAATTAATTTTCTTTTCACAAATATAAGGAAAGAAGAAAATGTTTTATTCTTTTACCTGAAATTGCTTGGTTACATTGGAATTTCTTTGATGATCCCCTTGTCCGGCTTCAGAACTGAAAAATCCAAGAACTAAACTCAGTAAATCAATAATTCAGATAAATAAACTGAATTTCATGACATAAAGGCGATTTTCAGTATTCTTTTGATTTTTCAAATACAGGGAAATGTAATCTTCTTTAAAACTCTCTCACCTTGTTATATTTACCTCACAAGCATTTTTATACATTATTACATTTGTGAGTCTATGTGTTTCTAATTATTACTTGTAAAGTTTCTCAAAAACGTGAAAGCTTTTTATAAAAATTAGCTCAAAATTATATATTTCCAGAAATGCTCAAAAGACATTTTCTCAAAGCTCTTCCAATTTTTCAATGAAAATTTGCACGCAGAGCCAAGTTTTACCCTTCTATAATATTCTTAACATTATATTTCAATTCTATTATTAGGGAACTGAAAAATTGAGAAAATGTGAAAAAATGTACTATTGTATGTGTTTATTTTTATTTTTTAATAAAATACTATTTCCTCAGTATAAATATTATGTGAAAATAAAATAAACAATTGTTAATTGATAAGTTCTGTAAATACTATGACCTAGAACACTTTCTATAGAGTTAGTTAATTTGGAGAATTTTTTTCATTACTGACGGCAATGTTGAAAAATTAATATTCAGATATGTGAATAATGTCAATAAATACATATTTCACATTAAAAGGCTATATATGCATAAAAAAGTCAGTTTTAGTTATATTATAGGTGCAATCAAATGATTATGTTACAAAGCCATAACGTGTTAACAATTTGTATGATTAAAGGATTCAGCCTTGCAAGCTAGGGTCTTCGGGCAGGTTATCAGATGTACAAGGACACTATATTTGTGAGATCAAACCCCACATAGAACATGAATGTATTCAGTTGTGTTAGAGATGAGGGGAGCATTTCATGGCCATTATGTACTACATCTCTACTATAATCCATCCTTCTACTATCTCTTGGCTTGATAGGAGGATCTCTGTTTTATTGAGGAACTGGATCCCACAAGTACAACATTGATACAACCACCAAGGAGGGGCCAAGAAATATCACGGACAAATATATAAAGGTATAGGACTGAGATTGGTCTTCAAAACATTCTGGGTGGACAAGGGTGCTCTCTTCCCTAAACCCCAGAGGAGTGCAGAGAAAAACAAAAACATCAAAAACACAGTCATAATTGCTCTAAATAGTTCTAAATCAATGCTTCACAGTGTGTCTTTCACCATACTTTGATGACATCAACAAGAGAAGTTTTTGTGTGAAGTAAGAAGCCAAAGAACAGACCTACACTAACATTCATTTATTGCACTGCTTTTTACTTTACTGTAAATCTTCATAAACTGCTCTTGGTAAACAAGAAATTGTCAGGGACCTCAATTTGTCACTAACATTTTGAACATAAGGGACAATTGTAAGTAAGTTGTAAGACACTATCACATCAAAATATTGTGCTTGTGTATCACTTTGATAAAAAAAAAAAAAATTACAGTGAAACAAGTTTTGAGTTTATAAAAGAACCCAAACGAGCCACTCGCAGCCACTCAATAAGCAAATGAGCTGAGCATGGTTTATATGATAGTTATGTTCACAGATGGACAGACATTTTGAAATTAATATTGTTTTGGTATCAGAGACCTTGAATTACATGTAGGAGAAAGTATTAATGTAATAATTATTAAATCTCTGACTAAGTATTTTTTCTATTTACAATGATATGTAGGAGAACAGGACAGTTATCTACTTTACAGGAGCCCACACTACTCAAAATGCTGGTGTTGTTCATAAGTTTTATTATTTGTTGGTATCTTGTATTTTGAAAATGTACATAGGAATGGGTAAATATTTGTTTTTTCCTTAAAATATTTTGGGTCCCAAAAGAATGGGACTCTTAAGGTACAGCTCTTTTAGCTTGAATGTAAATATGATATTGCCAGCAACTTACCAACTAACAGCATCCAGATCATCTCTATGTTTTATTTTAGTTAGGCCTAGAATACGTCTAGTCTGATCTAAAGTAGGATATCTCCTGGAAGGAAGATCTCGATTAGGAGGGGCCTCAATTGAAGCAGAAGCAACTTGGTCTTGAGATATCTGCAAGTACACATATATTTGGTTGAAGATTAGGGTTTACCAAATATTTAATATGAAAGTAGACATATGGTTATTGTTAAAATAAAATTATCTTTCTTAAACAATTTTTAATTATATTACATGAGTAATTTTAATTAAAAGGAATTCAGTTTATATTCAGATAAAACTTGCATTCATTCAATTGACATACCTGGAACTGCCTAAGTAAATCGAGAACTGAATTTTCTTCTTCCACACTGGCCTGAAGAGATACAAAATCATACATACGCCATTAGATTGTTATTCTGCATGTATTCCCACATATCTCTCTGAATTCAATGTTAAAAATGATTTTTTTTTTCACTACTAAAAAATACAACTATACAAAACTAAACTTACAAAATTATAGATCTCTTCTAAAGGTTTTTTCTCTTGAGATTTAGAAGCCTGAAAAAAAAAATCTTAAATACACTTTGCTCAATATGTTAACGTGACATTTCTTGTTACAACACATGTTACTAAGTTATCAAACAAATGTTTTCTTCACCACATCCTATCAACAGGCCTCAGATTTTGATGTACAGAGCTTAAGTGTACACAACACTTTGATAATGAATGTCAAATAAAGATGATTCATTTTTTACGATTCATGATCATATTTATGATTATGAATCATTATCATAATTTTATCCTTTTTCTCATGGGAAAAATATTAAGTTATAAAAATTCAGGATTTATAACTAACTAGCTGGTACTTGGAGTTTGCTACCAAAGAAGAAATAATTGATCTGACATCTACTAGAAATATTCTTTGAAATTCAAAAGAGTTATCTTGTTTTTTTTCTTATTTAAGAGTTACTTAATTCCCGCCCTATCTCTTTCCTCTCTTTCCTCCCTCTCTCTTTTTCCCTCTCTTTTTCCCTTTCTCTATTTCTATCTTTTCCCCCACCTCTCTCATTCTTGTGACACCCGCTCTTCCTATCCTTTCCTTCTTTCGACCCACGTCACTTGGAGACACTCAGCATCAAAGTTCATGTGTATTGGGAATTGCATTTAAATGAAACAATCTTGTCCTGCAGTAATTGTACTATACCTTTATCCTTCCCTCAAGTGCAAGCAATAAGTTGACAAAGTTTTATCACAATCAGATGAACGGTACAGCAGCACATTAAGTGCGTACCAACAAACAAACATTGATTTTTATATATTATATTTGTATTCAGTAAAAAATGCACATATATTAACAAAGCACTAGAATCATAATCCTAAAATTTTTGAGAACACTTCTGTGTTTAAACAATTAAAAGACATACCTTCAATGGGTAGCTGACACAAGTGCAAGAAGTAAAATTTTTAAAAGGAACAAAATATTTTTTCCTCCCCATTCTCTAGTTAATTTTATAGTCATGGTTACTTTTTTCTGTGTGAAATGTACCTCACCCCCATCTCTAGATTTCATTAGAATAATCACTGCTGAAACCAGGAGGCTCATCCGGTTTCAACCCCTCACCCCCGAAACTGATGACACATATTCACAAATACAGTTTTTACTAATTCGCTTCAGAGATGTGTTCTGTGTTATGGATAAGTTTTACCATTATTTAAGATGACATTAAAAACATTTAATTCATAAAATCTGGGCTTCTGGGAAATGAAGAGTGAATGAATCTCTGTATTATTTGGATCTTGATAATTTTCACTACAATTAAATCAGATTGGTTTGATGTTTTCATAAGGAATAGACAATGCATAAGTGAAGATCTGCTTTTAAAAATCCAACCTCAGACATTGTGTTTTGAAAACCTGTTTGGCATTAATTTTATTTTCAACAATTAGTTTTGTGATGAAAAGCCACACACTTCTCAAATGTTTCTATTTCTTTTTTGTATAGGTCTTATTATAATTAAAAATGAGTAATGTTAGCCTAGTTGGCCTGTTGATTGTCTCTGAGTTCTTATCTTGCCTTACACATTTGTTAGCTTTTTAACAAGGAGACTGAGGATATTCGTTTACTGTGGTCTTAGAATGATAAATTTAAACTGATATTTTAATATTTTAAAAAACAAGAATTTACTGTCACCTCAAGTTCCTTTTCCAACTGGAGACATCTACTGCATGGTTCTTCTTTTTCCTAGCAACAAATTAATGTAAACATCACAATTCATAAAAAAATTTATATTAATGCAATTGAAAATTCAAATTAACCATAACATATTAGTTAAGGTTTTTCTCACATGATAAAACTTAAAACACTCCTCAAAAAATATTTAGAACATATTCCATGAAAATATTAGATTAAAACACACTGATATTTCAAATAACATAATCAAAATAAGAAATAATTATTCAAAATTACTTTTTCTGAGTAAGCATTTTGTTTGAATTTATGTGTGTATTCTAAGATCTTGAATGACATGTCATTGATTTGACATCTACTGCTAATTTGATAACATTGTATTGAAGTTTGGTAGTCAGCAACATTAATATATACAAAAATGGTCTATAAACACATTTTACCTTCAGTTTATCCTCCAGCATTTGACACTTTGTTTCTAGATCTGCCTTTAGGACACTGAGAGCTTCAGCTTCCTTTCTGAGAGTTGCTGCTTCTGATGCAGCTGCAATTTCCACCTGATTAAGAAGAAAAAAATCAACTTCTTAAAATATACATATAATATTATTTTATTTAATTTAGTCATGTATTTTCATTTGAAAACTGCTAGAATTATTTTCCAGACCAGCTGAATTAGATCTAACTAGCTAGCTAGTGTCAAAAATCTGCCATTGCTGGGACCTGAACAATAAGATCTGATCAGACACTGAAATGGCAATGGTTGCTCCATCTAAGTTGGAATGGAAATAAGAATAAAATACAAAATCTCACCTGTAGTCTCCCTTCCAATTCCTTCTGCTGAGCAAGCAGCTCCTCATTCTGTTGACGTAGTTGTGCTATCTGCAAATGTTCTGCTTCTTTAGAGGCTTCCACCATCAAACGCTCTGCTTTTTCTGCCCCCAGAGCAGATTCCAGGGTTGAAACCCGCTGTTGCAATGATGCCAAACTTTCTCCCTGGATAGAATCTTCGCTAGCAGCAGAGCGACCAGAACCTATTGCAGCAGTGGACAGCTGCAGTAACTGAGAATTGTGTGCCTTCAAGTCATCCCTCTCTGTCTAACAAACAAAAATCAATATTCACCTCACCCACGTTTCATTTAGACACTGGCAAAACGGTAATTTCATTTCAAAAAAATAATTGGTGCTTGGATGTAGTGGCAAAAACACAGAACTTTTATAAACATTTGAATATATTAAAGCTACATTAAATTTATAATTAATCATTTATTTATTTACACATTAATATGTAGGAAACTGTATTACTGATAAATATATTATAGCTACATTAAGTGTTTTCTCAAAGAGAGTAGAGAAAGATTGGGACCATGCCCAGTCAATAGAGAAACTAGGTTCCTATGCTTGTACCAATAGAAAAAGAAGGGGAAAAATTCTTGCACTTATTATTAAAGAGCTTATTTATCATAACTTTTATTATATTATGTTTAAATAACCATGTATCCTGCAAGATGCGGGAATAATCAATAATTCTGCTGCCTGTGTATTAATAAATAAATAAAATTTGATTGCCAAATGTAAAGACTAAATTATCTTAATTTTTTATTTTTGAATAAAATACTTCTTTATACATTATTATTTTTCTTCAACATTTAAACACATTACTGTACCTTGAGATCTCGGATCTGCTCTGCGAGATCTTTCACTCTCTGTTCATATTGGCGAAGGCCTGCAATTTCACGTTGCAATTCACTAATTTTCTCATTATTTTTCTTTACTTGTTCATTCAACTCGTCACAGATTTGCACCTTCTCTTCCAAAGCTTGCTGCTTTTCAGCCAGCTCTTTCTCAATCTTAGTGGCTTGCTCCTTGAGGACAGTCATTTTCTGGACTTGGGCCACTAATATTCGTCGTGCCTTGATGAGTTCCACATCGCTGTCAACTCGTGCACGCTGCTCCTCTAGATCTGTCTGAGAACATTGTTGCCTACTACGTATACTGTTACATGTTAATACCACACTTTCATGAATCTAATATACCATTATTTCTGATATGCAATCCAAATTTGAAAACTTACAAATTTGAAAATGTTTGTTGGTGATGTAATATGCACGAAGAGTAAATTTATATTCTATATATGACAAATAGTGTAAGTAATATATAGTAAGTAATAATAGAGAATAGAGTATATAAGAATTGTTGTGCAACAATTCTTGTAGAACCTTTAAGAATTACGAAGCAATCAAGAATTGTTATGCAACAATTCCTGTACACCTCACACTCATTGTTCTCAAAATAATATCTACTTGAAGTATCTAAACATTTGAAATTAACAGAAAATCTATTTTTACTAATATTCTGTTTATCCTTATTTTGTTACTATTTAATTCAAATGTGTTATGAAATAAAAGGACAACCATAATATACGCCAGACCTGCAACATGCCTCCACTCATGGATGTTTTGAACTCAATTGCATGAATGCCTGTGAAAGTAGCCAAGTGCAGTGTTAAGTGGTAAGTGGTAGAAGTAGTTGAAGTGGTGGGAGGTTGTTAGAAAATTGTTTAGGAAAATGATTTGCTACACATACTTGCTATGTATGAATGATAGATTAAATACACTAGCATGATCCTTGCCATGAAATTATTTATTTAGTGACTGGATGGTGTGCAGTGAATTATTCAACATTATATAAGGATAAAACAGAATTCCTAATGTATGGCAGTTATTCAGTGAGAACTCCAAATGATTTTGATTTAAAAATTATTCTTAAATGAAGAGTTTAAATATTCCCAATACTGGAGCTTATATATTGGTGATAATATGAAATGGTTTGAAATTACAAATCAAATCATCAAGAAAACTATTATTATCAATTTTATATTTTATTATTTCTATTTTTATTATTTCTATTTCTATTTCTATCTCTATTTCTATTTCTATCTCTATTTCTATTTCTATTTCTATTTCTATTTCTATTTCTATTTCTATTTCTATTTTTATTATTATTATTATTATTATTATTATTATTATTATTATTATTATTATTATTATTTGAATTATAATTAATTTTTAGGCAGCCACTAAAACTGGATTTTCTCAGGGCATGCTTAGCAAAGTTCATTTTTTAGCACTGGGCTATGCTTAGTGGCTAAAAAAATTCATTTTTTAGCGCACTTAGGATTGACTGCTCAACATATTTCAGATAAATCCATAATGTAACAAAGAAAAATAAAATACTTTTGTTACATCAGCTACTACTGATGTTAATGTATCATTAAGGGATTTGTATACTTTGATTAAAATAAAATGAAAGTCAGTAAGTCTAAACAGTAGTGTCAGACACACATGGTAAAATCGATTTTACTTTACTCTTAGGATTGCGCCACTTTTCCTGTTGGCCTTGTGTTGCAACATTTCCTACTAACAAAATAAAAACATTTACCGCTCATATTGTAAATAACTATTTTTCTATAAATTACATTCAGCATTAAATCAATATCAGAATGTAGATTAAAGTTAAGGCAAATCTGAATACTACTTTTGCTTAAAAATAGATTTATGATTATATTTTTAATCTTTTTTAATTATTCAAAACATTCAAACGTATTTTATACGGCATTGTCATTAATTATTAAGTTCAATTCTTCCCAAATTTCATGATCAGTTAATAATGTACTAATGTTCTAACTTGTCCAGAAAATATGAGAGAAAATATCTTCAAATAATTGCACCTATCCTTCCATTAATGATGAATAAGCAAAATGTCTCATAATTCGATCAAAAATTTATAAGCTGTTTCATTCAAAGAATAACATTAGATATTTTTAATTCCACTCAAAATATATTATCTCACAACCATTACATCACACTCAGTCAAAAACAAATTATATCCATAATCAGCTTGGTGCATGTTAGTATTTACAAAATTTAATGTTTGTCATGCGGTTAAGAAATAAAAATTCAAAATTACTAAAACTTTTCACAGAGATAATGAAGAGAGAAAATTTTTCAAGTGAAAAACCAATAAAAGAAAAAGTTTCAAATTTTGAGATTTATTTAATCAAAATGTAAAAATTAGACAACACTTACACAACATAACTAAATGAGTGGAGAAACCAAAGAATACAAAGAATTTGCACTACACTGAAAAGAGATGCAAAAGTTATAGTTTAATAAAAATATTTTTGAAGCAATAATTTTGAAATACCCAGGTTATACATGAATTTGCAAAGAAGTCCATTCTTCAGTACTCGAGATGAAATATTTAGCAACCTTTTTCTTTAGCTCACCTTGTTGTTGGGTTCACTATGATGTGGTGATTGGTTGCCTTTGGTCTTACCCTTGCTTTTCCTTTTGTCAGCACTTCCAGAAACTGAAGAATCATCTGGATCACCTCCATTTCGTAAAATACTCACAGTCTACAACATACAGTAATTACAATCCCTATTTATTGTCATGTTAATTAAAGAGATTTTAACGGTAAAGGGCATGGTCATTCTAATTTGTATCACATAAAGGCTGTGGGTTTGAAACTTGCATGGAGGCATGGAGTTCTCAATTCAAATGGTACACTGCTCAAAACACCATGTATCACCCCTGAAACAAAATCCTAGCCTGGTAAAAGTTGTGTGTTTGGAAAGGTCAGTATGCCTACAAGTCGCAGCTCCAAAGCTATATAATACAGAGTGGCTCCCTTCCTCTAATCTGCACCAATGGGCTTACAAGTCTTTTCAAAGAATAAGTATGCAAGATAAATAATATGACCAATGCTGGCTTATGAGCCATATCAACATAATGAATGGGGGACAGGTATGTAATCACATTGGTTGCACTTGTAACTAAAAGTCTTGGCCATAGGAGCAGAGGATGTCTATAAGATACTGAGAGGTGTATAGGAAAATAGAAAAAAGCAAAAGTTAAATAAAGGAAAAAAATAAAACTAATAAAAATACTACACATATAATAAAAACAATAATAAACAATATAATAATAAAAAACTAATAATTAAAAATAAATTTGTCGAATAGATTTTGAGGTAAAGACAAAGCCCTTCAAAAATTAATTCCACATTTACCCGAATTTAAGATGGGAATTTTGAAGAAGCCTTCTGAGATTGTTTTCATTTTTAACAAATTCTTATTATTCAGAAAAAATAAAATCAATTGTCATGTTGACCACAAAACTTTCTTGATAAGGTTAACAAATTTTGTGTGCTCTATCAGTATTTTCTTACTCATAAAAGTAATCATTTTGTAACTACCTTCTTCAAATATTTCACTGTTTCTTTTTTTCTAGGCCTCCCGAGACGAGGTTGTCCTCTTGACTTTTTATTTTTCCCTTGAAAAATTTTAACATTTAATTTGTAACCATCTTTCATGGGATGCCATCTAAGATCATTCTGTTCTGTATCACCAGATTTTTTCGTATCACACTCTTGTTTGTCCTCCTAATAACCATTAAATTGAAATTTGCATCCTTTAATGTTGTAAATGTCAATCTCTTACATTCCTGTGCCTACATTCCACAGATAGCACAGCAGAGAAAGGCAAAGATTCTAAATTGGAACATTTTTTCTAAGATTAAAAAAAAATGATTTTGTCTCTTTTGTTGGATAATACAGAATGCCAATGAAGGTAAATTTTTTCTATTTTTTATTTTTATTTTTTTAATGTTTTAATTTTTGATTTCTCATCCAATCTACAGATTTGAACATGGTAAACAAAGAATCCATGTGGTCTTGTTGATACTGAAACAAAATCTCGGCAACTTTATTCCATTTTGATTATTTCACGTATTAAAATGCAATTTTTTGACATTCTTTCTTTACAAGCCTGCTCAAAAATATTGTTCTGAATCACCTAACAAATCCATGATGGATAGAAAGAACACATTCAAGAATATTATGTACCACTGTATGGATACCGTTGGTATTCATTGCCTTTACAGCCTATTGTTACATCAACTTTCAAGTTTATTGACACGAAATGGAAACAAAGTTCCTAAATGACTAGGCTTAATCTGCAAATGTAAGATAACCCCATTTTATTTGAATGAGATATTTAGGAAAAATCCTCATCTTGAATTTGGATAAATAAGGTAAAGAAGAAAAAAACTGAAAGAAAGAAACATTAATGAAAAATATCACAGTTATTACATCTTGAAATTTCAATTTTATGTAAGGAGCTTAGGATTATTATGTAAATATAGAAAGAAGACTGACCCTTTCCATTTTATGCAGATTTTCCTTAAGTCGTTCAATTTCTTCTTCAAGATACCACTGCTCATGGCGGGCACTAAAACATGATTTAGAAATGTACCTTCACTTACTTCCCAAGCTTTATAAAAGTAAAATATTATATTTTCAAGTAACAGTTTCTTATTTTACATCGTTAACATTTCAAGTATAGTGTGCAAGGAAAGTCTCTCCACAGCGAAGCGAATCAGGAGCTCTAATAAAAAATTGTATTTATGTTAATAGCAGCCAGATCACTGGGAAAAAAGTAAAGGAAACAGCACTTCCAACATGTGTTATGATTGTGGGGAGAACACAATTTCCAGTTTCATTTGTTACTAGTTGCAGTTCATACTCCCAACATATTTTCTGTTGCTAGCAACCTCACCAGCCACTGATGTCACTGCAGAGAGATCATTCTTGATGCACTATACCACACATACAACTAAAAAATAAAACCTATAAAGAAGGTAAATGAAAATCTCATAATACATTAATGGTTCACTATGTTCAAAGTAAAACGAATTGGTCTGAAGAGTACAATGAGAGAAAAAGAAGAACAAAGAGGAGGAGAAGATGAGGAGGAGAAGAGGAGAAGAGAAGAGGAGAAGAGGAGAGAAGGAGAAAAAGAAGAGGAAGAGGAAGAAAAAATCCAAATTAGCTAGTTAATGTCAAGTTCATAACCAAGAGATTATAATCTATACTATGGACGATTATTAAAATGGAAAGGAGAAACAGTAACATTTTTGGGAAAGTGTATACCTGTTGCATTTTTTTGAATTCTTAGGTTTGTAATTTGTGAAGCTGCGGCACGAGAGAAACTGTTGACGCATTGCATCCACCTTGGCTCGCCAGATCTCATTTTCTGCTTCTAATGTTGCGATGTGTTGTGCTTGCTCACTTAAAAGCATTTCTGCATTCAATGCTTGGCGCTCAAATCCACCAGCTCCATTCAGTGGAAGACTCTTGCGTGACTCAATTAAGCGAAACACTCTTGTACTCAATCTGCAATGAAAAAATTCAAAATTAGTAATTTCACTAATGAAAATGCTTGGTTTAATTTCTTCCTATTTTCCTGTTGCTATCAAGACACACACAAATTTCTCCTTTATCTTTGGGCCCTCATTTTAATTATAAATAATGCATACTAAACACATGTTTCATTTTGTTATTACTTTTCTAGTAGTATGTTAGTGTATGTAGTGACAAATTAAATATTAGGATAGGAACATCACAAAATTAATTCTACTTCATCCTGATTTCTTCTGCATGCCTAGAACAGTAGTTGTCTGTCATAATAGAAATAAATATATTACAAGGTTAATAATGTTTCACAAACAAATACAAACTACAGAGTAAATGTTTTCTATCTTCAAAATTAAAGTTTTAAACTATTTAAAATTAAAGTAAAAAAATTATTTTCAAATATTTAACAGCTGTGAAACTCCCTCAACTCTCTTAGAAAGGTTCATAAAATTTTAATTACTTTTATCATAGAAAAAAACAATTTTACTACAAATTATGTGAAATTGTGACCGTCATTGTTCCAGATTTATTTTCCAATTCAAACACAAATAAAGAAATTAACACACACTTTACCTAGAAAAGTATATGGTTTTTCCACAAAAAATTTACAAAAAAGAAAAAAGAATGCTGCACTAGGATAATATCATATTAATAAGATACTGAAAAAAATTATAACATAAAACTTGTGGAAGTATGTGACTCCAAAACTCTTCTTCCTCTTAGTGATAAATGTTTAACTCAGAATTACTCAGACATTAAAAAAAGTGCATGATATCATTTAAATATATATAATTGAGGGATAAATTGCATTGACAAAGAAATCTCCATATTTCACATTGGATATAGGGTTCCAAAATAAATTTTAACTTTTTCAATTTTCAAAATTTCAGGTTTAAACGGAAATCAGAACTATAGATTTATATATGCACTTTCTTCTGTTTGACCAAAAGCTTAGAAAAAAATTATAAAAGAAGAAGAAAAATTGCAACCATTTTCTAGTAAATATTGAAAATATCACACAGGCTTCATGCAAAGAACGCCCCGAATTTAAAATATCTTAACCCTTAACTGTCCTCAATTTTTGTGACATAACCGCTGTTGTGGGTCTGTCAGACACAGTAGTAATATTATTTTCTAGATATAGTTAGAAATGAGTAGACACATGAAATAAATGCTTACATTTTCTAATTTACAATTTATTTAGCATGTTGAAATATTATAAGGTGAATCCAGGAAAGTGATTTATCTGTCTTCAAAAATATATTTTAAAACATGCCAGTTTGAAAAATCATATAAACAATATTAGTATTGACATGAAGAAAAAAGCACATCAAATTATATTTTAGTACCCAAGTACTTATGAAATGAAATGGAACATTTAAATTTTGAAAATCAAGTCTTACATGCACTTATGTAGACACATGTTTTTGAAATACATTTGCATGCATTGATATCAGAATAATAATAGTCTTCATCTAATATTGGATTTATAAACTCGCTGAACCTCTCATCATTAACACTGGGTCTTGTACGTGTATCTGCCATTGTTCATACAATAACTAACAATATTTCTCTACATTCAAATGCAACAAAACTAATTTTTATACCACATGCAATTTATAGAAAACTTACAAAACTGCTGTCCTGGGTCTCTCAGACCCACGAAACCACTTTAACTAAAAAATTAATAATACTATCTTTATACCCAATCCACAAGCCAACACAGTCACTACAAAAATTCAGCTTCTGAGAATGGTAAGAATCAGAGAAACAATCTTGGTGGAGTAGAAAGATTCATTTGGGTCTGATATACCCATGACAACAGGTAAGGGTTAAAGATCTCCAGAACAACACAACTAGATCTTCACACTGACATATTTGCCTGTTTTAATTTGAAAACTTTAATGACAGAGTATGCATGCTCCATACTTTCAACTATACACCTATACCTAATACAACTATATACCTATATACAACTATATACCTTGACAGACATTCTGACTTTAAAGAACAAAGCAAGAATCACCTCACTACCTGCACTAATCTTAACCATTTTTGGAACAATACTAATATATCTTAATACTGATCTTTGTAAAAAGTTACAACATAAAAGACCCTTAAACACGAATCACAGATTTTATTATTGTTATTGTTGTTATTGTTATTATTGTCTCAAATATTGTATTTTTGCTCTTAATGATTCAGGATCATTATTTCCAATTACAAAGAAAAAGTCAATGAAGCAATTTCATCTACCCTCTTGTCTCTCTCTCTCTCTCCTCTCTCCCCCTAAGCACTAACAAAAGTACAGATAATTTTGCCATAAATTTAAGAGACACAAATGAACGTTGTTTGCAAAGACAAAATTATGACACATACCTCTTCAACTGGTCTCGTAAATGATTACAGTCTGTTTTCAGACGAATATTATCTTCATATACATGCAAAAATCGATTCTCAAGCTCAATACGTGGTAATCTTGACACATGTTGATTGTGAAGAACTAATTCTGGAGACACAATCAAAACAAACATTTAGAAAAATTTAAGGATTAATTAAGAATATTGTAGTTTTTCAGAATATTCATGGAGTTGACAAATGAATAATTCCAATTTTAAATGGAACATATGCTTAAAAGTCTTAAAGAAATATTTTACATGACATCTAAAGGAATAAAAAACTGTAGTGATACATTTTTCCAAGAAGCTAGTCTGATTGTTTAACTCCTAAAATCAGAAAAGAATAATTAACTATTTTGTACAAATTCAATATTTATATAATCATTAAAAAATAGTAGTAGATGTTTTCACTTCATGAAAGATTTAGGAAAGTGTATAAATAATTGATAATATACTAAAAATTCAATCTATAATGAATATATATTATAATTGTTTTCAAGATAAGATCAATAACAGCAATAAGAAACAATAAATAAGACACAATATTATATGTATATACAAATGTACTTATTGTGAACAGTTTAAAAAGCATGTCAAAGAGATTTCATGAAATCTGGAAATTTCAATATCTGTTGGCTCAAACACTATGAAACTTTTAAAATGTAATTGAGTGCATGGAAAATAATTTTTTTTTATATTTAATCTTGATACAAATAAGCTAATTCTAACTGTACTAAAAATGCCTTTACAATGGACACCTACTATCTCTAATAGAAATGAAAACTGATTCTTTGTTTTATTTATAAAAGAAAAACAAAAGTTGTTTCTCATTTCTTGTACCGCTAAACCTCAGGTGGGCAATGCACAATGTAATTAATGATGTAGTACACTTTCTCACAATGTTTTGAAAAATTAAAAACTTAATCTTTTACGACTACACATCCTATACCAAAAATTTACATTTTAAATTGATTTCTCATTAATCTTAAATAGAAAATGCTTAAGAGTTTCCATGTTTTAATTTTTAGATTATTGTGTCAAAATTTAGGTCTTTATTTTATCACTTTTATTCACTTAACTTTCTTTCTTCTTATTTGTACATCAGTTTGCTAACTTAGGTAATATTTCAACACATTTAACTTTATCTATGTCCATTTGTTTCATGTATTAAATTTTCCATTGACGTTTTAGAATGCATAATAGGAATGTTGTAATTACGGTATTTGTGATTTTTTGAACTTGAACAACTTTCAAATGCAATGTTAAACATAAGTTGTCAACTTTCTTCTAAGAAAAAGGAGAATATGAAAAAAGTATGCAATTTCATAATGCGGCAGTGTTTGGCCTGATGTTTCTACAAACTCTGTGATCTTTGTCCATTAAATTGCAATTTGTTAACCTTACAGATAAAAACATTTGTAGGTTTACAAAAAAACTAGTAATGCTGCAGGAAGAAACAAACTTTCCCATGTTAGTTTTCTACTTCCTAAGGTCTCAGCTAGCTATTCGAACTTGCCACATACTCTTACCTGCTGCCATCTATCGCCGCCCAAAATACATTTTTTTGAAATTTTCTTAATTTTTCAGTTTACTAATAATAGAACAGAAATATTATTTTCAGAATATTAAAGAACAGGAAAACCGCATTATAAATGGCAACTTTCTTTGCAAAATTTGGAGACGTTTTTAAGATGGCACATAATCCCTACAGTATATTTGAAATTTGAAGTACTTTTTCACAGAAATGTGTTGAGTGTTCGAAAAACTTCATTAGAAGTCATTTGAAGCACATTGACTCACAAAAACAATAGTGTTTACAAATTGCATATGTATGTATTAACGATACGAGAGGTATTTAAAAAAATACATTTGTGTAAATTTTTTAAAAACAAAAAAATACCCTGAAATACACTTTACATCATATTATAGAGTGCAAGTAGCACTCTTTATTACGATTTCAAGAAAAAATTTGGAGCCATTTTTGAGATAATGGCATTTGAGCTTTTCTGAAATTGCAAAATTTTGAGCTCCATTTCACAGAAAATGGTTGTTTTTCGAGAAGCTTTATAAGACAATATTTAAAGCACATATTTATGTACTCATAAATATAATAATGTGAACAAATTGCTGCTTATGTAAATATTAACAATGTGTGAAAAAAAAACAAAAAATTACATTTTTGTAAAAACAAAAGAATAGAGCAATATACCATTTATGTCATCTTATAGAGTACACATAGCACAATCCCTACCAAAAGTTTAAAGCAAAAATTTGGAGCCATTTTTGAGAAAATCTTGTTTTTGTAATTTTTTAAAATTGCACGTATTGCACGCAATATTGCATGAAAATTACAAAAATTTTCAAACAAATGTACACCCCTTTAATGAAACAACTCACTTCGGAGAACAAATATTATTTGAAGGAAAAATGTCTATGTTTAATTTTGTAGTTGTAGGAATACGGGAAAGTAAAAAATGGTTGAAATATTTTTCTAAAGATATGACTGAAATGCAGTACAAGTATATTAGAACACAACTTCACAGATAAATAATTCAGGTAACTTTACAATTAAGAGTATAAGCAATTTGCACTCATAGCTAACAGAAACTTGTGATATTTGGCTTGATTACTGAAAAATATTTATAACTTATTTAACTTTGTTGGACTTTCCTCCATGTTTTTCAGAAGGATCTTTAATTTTTATCTTTAAAAGTTAAGGAATATAGTGTTTAAAATACAGAATTCATAATTAAAAAATTGTAAAGATGTATTGAAAATGAACTAAGCATGTTCCTGAAGTCTAAGTTTGTTAGTACCAAGAGTTCAACCATTAGAGTGTAGAATAAATAAATGATTAACTGAAATTAATATATCAATATAATACATAGTTAAATACAGACAGAATCAATACAATTTTAATAATATTCAGATATTTTGATGAGCTTGACAATTCTATTTTTCCAAAAATATAATATTTATGATTCTATATTATATTGTATCAATACTTAAGACCAATATTATAGTCTCCAGTGTCATTTTATGTGAAGAGAAACACAAAGAAATCTCCTTGACTGTGTGAGAAATCACACATTACTAATGCTGCATTACTGTGCTTATAGCCACACAGAGGAAATATTAAAATATGAATTATTTTGAATTATTTTAAACTCCATGGTGTGGAGTAATTGCAATTAATCACATAGCAAGTATTTGTGCAAATTACAACACACAAAAGGTATAGAATTACTTCAACTCAAAAAATGCAGAAACAACAAATTCTAATTTATAAGATGACATACAACACTACAGAATATTCAATTACGTTTTTCATTGTTTTTGTTGTTTTATATAAATATTAGACAATATAAATTTAAAACATGCCATTTTAAAATGTGCTTCAGAAATATTTACAAAAATGTATAGAATAGCGAATTAATACACACTGTAGCCAGAACAGCAAACCAAAAATAGAAGAAAATACTGAACCAGTACACTTTACTAAGATATTCAAAATAAGAGAGATTTCAGTAAATAAACTTACTGCATATTTTACATAATTTGATATCTGCAAAAAGAGAATTGAACAATGTCTTGACTTTCAGTTCCAATTTCAAACAACGAATATTGTGAAACGCTGAATAGTGTTGTGTGTTTTTGCACATTTCAAATGTGTGAAGATTGAATGTTTTTAAAGAGTATTAAAAGTCACAAAAAAACTATAACACAACTTTAGAAATGCTAATCCTATACATTCATCAATGAAAATATATTAATAAAACACTTAAAAGTTTTATTAATGGATATTAAAAGATAGTAAGTACTGTAACTTATTGTAAGTTAAATAGATATTTCATTACAGAAAGAGATAAAGCATGGTATTTTCATACCAAACTTTTTATATTATTAAGCGAAAAAACAGATTACCTTTCTTATTGGGACAGTTACATTGTGGATCATAACACTCCTTGACAGGATCTCTCAGTTCTGTACTCACTGCCATCTACAAATATATTTATTAATATAAATAAAATAATTACAAATAATAACAAAAAACATTGTAAGAAATATATTTTATAATATAAATGGATAATACTCTTTAGGGAAATCTATAGAAAAGTGTACTATTTAAGATCAGTACACCAATACATTCTGATGCTGCCAGACCCCCAAAAAATAATTTAGTCAAACCTTAAAGAATTTTTTTAAAAATTTAATGCCTTAGCACAATTGAATTGAATTAACACAACACAAGGATATTTTCTATTCATGATATTTTTTTTCCTGAACTGAGTCCAAATCCATTATTCACCATACATAGAAATATTTTTCTTCTTCATCATATTCATATACTCCATTTATTATTGTACACTTTCATTGAAATAGTAACATGAGGCTAAGCAACAATAGCGCCCATTTCAACTGCTCTGACTCACATGTTTATATATAAATTTGTATATTAATTAACAAACATTTATGTTTGTTATCTGAGAATATTTAACAAAAAAGGCAATCAATATACAATATTTGAATTAGTATATTAAATACAAACATATTGAATTGATACATGGGACTGTTCAGCAATTTTTAAAAGTATTAAATGTTGATACCCAACGATGGAACTTAAACAGATGATTACTCAGATATTTCTTAAATAAAATTTTCTAAGAACTTCAAAACTAATCTTCATATTCCACGCACATTCAAAGTGCAATGTCACTGTCAAATAAATTTAACTGTTTTAAAGTAATATTCAGCCTTCATGGCAGATTGCTAGAAAGCTTTAAGCAAGGAGTTTTCATATATTTAGTATTACTCATTATATTAAGTACAAGAATGTTCAAGAGCTACTGATTAAATGCTTCTGTAATAAATACTATTGGTTTGAACTCAATATTTTTAATGTTTGCTTTCCTTCCCTCCAGATAAATGCAATACAAAACTCATTTTACTACACATAATGTTAATATTAAAACTGTCAATACCTTTCAAGAAACTGAAGAATGTCAAGAGTTTTAAATATCAGGTTGCCATTCAACTATGCAGTTCATACGATCATCGCACTACGTAAACTTTCTTTGGAAGTGTAGTACGTATTTAACCATCACGTATTTTATTGATACTTAATCTACCAATAAAGCATTCACCATTTTGTGTTAATTTATTCATGAAATCATGTTTCACAAAAAAATATGACGTTTTCTACAATTTGCATTTCTTGGCTGCATATGTTGTTTACATTATCGAACAAAGGGTTGCTTAGCAACCTTGAGCATCAACACGCCGATTGCGACAACTAAAGGCGCGAGTTTTAAATTCAGATGATCATTTCACATGTAGTACAGTATTTAACGAAAAAAGGATTTTTTAGACATCTTATAAAAGCGGTTACATTTAGAGCATTGCTAAAAGTTCAATTTTTAGCATTAGTGCTACAAGGGAGACAATGCTCAAGATAAAATGTGACTGCAACTAAGAAAACTATTTTCGACTGGCTGCATCAACCACTTAATTAATGTAACCACCATCTTAATGTAACACAGCACCGAACTAAGGGATTTGTATACCTGAATTAAAATAAAAGGAAAGTCAATGAGGGTGTCTAAAAAATAGTGTATGACACATGTGGTAAAAGTAATTTTATTTTGCTCGTAGGATTTCGCCACGAGGCCTATCGGCCTCATGACGCATCATTTCCTACTCGCAAAATTAATATCATTTTTACCATTCTTTCGTAAATAACTATTGATTGACAAAATGTCCGTTTATTACCTAGTGTACAAATGGTGTTTAAACACGAAGCTTTTCCCCGTGCGCCAAATTTTAATTAACTGAAAATATCTAAAAAATGCATTTACAGCTTCAGTATCACTAATGAAGAATGAAGCAAACGCCAAATTCATAACAAAATGAAACCAAAGAGGAAGCAAAGACAAAAAATGTTGTTTTTTTCTCGAGTGCATAATAATCATAATTAGTTCGTTTGAAGCGGCGTTTGAATAGCAGTAATTGCATTACATTACCTCTCATATTTTCTCATCCTTCCTTCCTACTTTGACTCTTCTGTCACAACAGCATATTTATCTCGCTTATTTTACGTTGTTGTACTCTTCATTTTTAGGAAATACAGAGAACTGCCCTATGGATAGTGTCCCACAGAAATTGTAGGTCACAACTATGCATATAGTAGTCCCGTCAGGGCCTTTACCACCAAACAAGCACCGAATCTTTGCAAAGATACCAGAACCCGACATCGAACATAAAACTGTCTTCGATACCGTCTTTTACAAATCTATTTCGTGACGTAGGCTGAGAGGTTCTAGGATCCGGTTCACAAGGCAGATTTTTCAAAAACACTCATACCCACAATACATTGCTCATATTCAGAAACCATTTATTATTGATAGGACTTCAAATGCGCGTATGTGTGAGGGGTGATGTGTTTGTGCTAAAGGCACGTTGTGGAGGGATAAACGCAAAATGACTCTTAATCCATATCGAACTCAACGTGAATGAATCGACTCTACACCGACAGCATGAAATAGTTTCTTGTGCTATTACCTCATCATGTTATAATGCTATCATATATTGGCGACGAAGCTCCAGTCTCTGTCACTGTCATAAAGTATCTTCAGTTTGTGCAACGCACAATGTACGAAGCATTTTGTGTAAAAATATTTTGTTCTCCAATCTCGCAGCGTTCGGAGTAGATTCGTACATTAAGAGATAACGTCACGGTGTAAAAACAAAAGGGAGCTCAAGAAAATTGTACAGAGGGTGAAGTTATATTTGTGTGCGGAGAATGAAGTTACATATAAGAATTATATACGTGTCCTGCCCCTACAGACTGGCAGGAGACATCACTACATTTCAACACCAATACGCATAAAGAAGTAGATTCTTGGTGGGCCAAGTGCCGTTACCTACGGAGAGAATAGTGCACAGAGGAATATCCCGAAAACAAACAGAGTGTAATGTTTTAACTAGTGGTGCTACAGAATGGCACAGACCTTCCCGTATTAGTTTTCTCGTATTTCCTTTGGTCTCGGCTAGCTATTCGAACTTGCCACATACTCTTGCCTGCTGCCATCTATCGCCGTCCAAAATACATTTTTGTGAAATTTTCTTAATATTACGGTTTACTAATAATAGAACGGAAATATTATTTTAAGAATATTAAAGAACAGCAAAACCGCGTCCTAAATGACAATTTTCTTTGAAAAGTTTGGAACCGTTTTTAAGAAAATGGCACATAAACCCTACAGTATATTCAAAATTTGAAGCACTTTTTCACAGAAATTTTTTGATTTGATTTTTCGAAAACCTTTATTAGAAGTCATTTCCAGCACATTAACTCACAAATACAATAGTGTTTACAAATTGCTGAAATATGTGTGTATTAATGGCGTGAGAGATATTAAAAAAGCATTTTAACAATTTAAAAAAACATCAAAGAAATACCTCGAAATACACTTTACGTCGTATTAAAGAGTGCAAGTAGCACTATCCGTTCGTAAAATTTGAAGAAAGAAATTGACCCCGTTTCTGAGAAAATGGCGTTTAAGCGTTTCTGAAATTGCGAAATTTTGAGCTAGTTTTGACAGAAGACCGTTGAGTTTTCGAGAAGCTTTAGATGACATTATTTAAAGCACACTTGTTTATAAATATAATAATGTGAGCAAATTGCTGCTAATGAAAATATTAAGACAAATCAAAAAAAAAAAAATTCTGAAAACAAAAGAATAAAGAAATATGGCATTTAAGTCCTCTTTTAAAGCGCATTAAGCACAATCCCTACCAAAAGTTAAAAGAAAAAATTTGGAGCGGTTTTTGACAAAATCTCGTTTTTGTAATTTTTTAAAATTGCTCAAATAGCACGCAATATTGCGCTAAAATTTTCAAAAATATTTGTATGACCTTATTGAAGAACAAATTATGGGCAACAAATTTTATTTGAAAAAAATCTCTATCTTTAGTTTTGTTGTAGGAAGACCACGAAAAAAATCAAACTTTTGAAATTTTTGAAAATTTAGAGTTAACCGTGAAAATCGAACCTATGCCACATTTCACATGACACTGTAACAAGGAAACTTGTATCCTGGATCTGGTATACTCCAACGGTTCTTTTTTTTCGGTGTATAGGTGTATTTAACTATATTCTTGTAAGATATTTAAAGAAAAAATGTTGAGCATTTTTTGAGAAATTTTTGAAAATGTTCCTGGTGCTTCATGTAAAGTACCCCGATAAACGAATGAATGACTTTCGAAATTGCAACATCAAGCGAAAAATACTCAAATTTTCAATAAATTGTACATTACCTTATTTCCAAATTTATCTTTAAGGAATATATTTCATTAGGACAAAAAATGTCTTTAATATTTTAGTGTTCGAAAACCACCGAAATAAATTTTGAATTTTCTCAATTTTCGAAAAATCAGTGTTTTTAACCAACATGAGACCTACGTTATTCTCTTAAACGTCCTTCAGACTATCGAGCAACATAGTTGAATCAAAATCGATGGCGCCAATTTTTTGAAAATGTCCCAAGGCTTTTTTTTATTTTTTTATTTTTTATTTTTTTTAAACCTCCCCCTCCTCCTCCCCCCGGGCACCTCACGGCCTGGTGCGGCGTACAATTTACTTTGTATAGAGAAGTCCACTCATTTAAAGTATCTCCCAAAATTTAAAATATCAATTTCAAATTCAAGGAGCTGCTACATCAAAGAGATTGAATGGGAAATATCAATTTTGAAAAAAAAAATGACTGGATGGTTTAGTCGCCTGCGTTGTTCATAGACATATGAACAGACGTTTTGCCATCAATCGATTTTTCGGTTTCAAGGACCCCCCAAAACCGGAGTTATGAATGCACCACGCGTTAGAGAACCTTTTTTTTAGGAACTGGATTTATCAACTTTTTCGTTACTAGGGCTGTACAGAGAAGGGAGAATACATAGAACGGGGGAGGGGGTCCATGAGTGGACTGAAAGGCCCTTCTTTCTTTGTATAGACAAATTAAATTGTACGCAGCACCGGGCCGTGAGATGGGGGGGGGGGGGGGGAGGAGGAGGAATGGCACTGGTTAAAGGAGGAGGTGGAGGGTTACAAAATTAAAAGAATTGCATTGCACATACTATTTATTACTATTAAATGTCTACTCTATGTTGGTGGGATGACATATGACCGACAAATTAAATGTATTGATTATACCGAAATGAAATGAATTATACAATAAAAATGGCTGGATTATACATTACTTCTATTGATGAGAACTCACTTCCATGGGCACACGGCGTTGCCGAATACCTTGTATTGGGTCGCTGCGGCATGCGTGCTCCTCAGCGGAGCTCCTCTCCCGGGCGAAGCTGGAATGCAGGCGTCCCACACAGTTCGCCGGTTACGGGGAGAGTCTGTCCCGCAGCTTGACCAAGTACCTGGCCCTAGGTGGACCCTGGCAGTAGGAGAGTGCGTGCGGCACACATGGTCTCTCGCCAGCAGGTGACTGACGGTGTGAGAGTAGGGTCTGCCCGTACCGCACTAAAGTACCTGCCTAGGGCAGCGCTTTTACGTGCGTGAAGCGCAAAACCTGAAATGTGCTCGTGGGTGCGGAGACTGCTCAGCGAAAGGCCCTGGGCAGGCGGTGTAGCCTGTGGCTCTCGCGCTGGTTCTAGCAAGTCTGACCCTGGGACAAGTGTACGTGCTAATAATGAACAAAGGTTGGAGGCTGCAGCGTGGGTGGCCGCCGGGTCGGGGGAGGCCGGCGGTGCCGGGGTCAGCCGTGGGGGTGCCGGGCGCACCCGACGGAAGCGACCACCCGCATTTGTGTGAGGGCTTTGGGTTGTGGACGGAATAAGGGCCCTGTAATAAAATAGTTTTTCTGCCGAAAATTCCCTGGTTTTTCGCGAAGCATTACATAACTTTCTCCTATTAAGGAGCTCCTTCTTAAGCGCGAGAAAGTGAAAAATAAATGGTTTTAATGAACTGAATAATTCTATGGCTGTGTCGGTAACAAATGTCAAGAGAGTTCTTACAATATTATTTTATTTTCAGTAACTATATTTCTAGCGGAGGCAGCTAATGACAACGCTTTAGCGATCATTGCTAAATTGACATCTAGCGTTCAGGAATTAGAAAACTTGCTCACATATTTCGTCTAGGAATACTGAATATAAAATTCACAAATAAGTGCAAAGAAAGCAAATAAGAGTTGATCAGAAATATGTATTCGCAAATGAGAAAGATGACCGTTAATGGATTAAACTGGGAATATCTTTTAACATACCATTACAATTTCAATAATCTTTCTGGTTTAATGAATTCACATCGGTTTTTCGCTTCCAAAACTGGATACATTACTGACAGTACAGTAATAGTGATCATGTAACTCGAAAATGGCAGCATTATAAACCTGTTTAGGTGGCTCAGGGCATGAACTGATGTCACTGCATTGCCACCGACCGGGAGGTTCGAGTCCTGAGGGTGGTATG